ACCTTGTATTGTCAGGTCTCCGAGGACGTTTCGCCGATCTCAGATCGTGAGGCATTTTTCTGTCTCTTAGCTCATTTTGCGCACCGACAAGGGTTCACTTTATTATCCATTCGGCTAACCTACTAACTGCTAGCTGTCCGAGGTGCCGTCGGACAGTGCTCCATCAGACTGTCAAATTTGTCTCTTCTCTCAACACGCCTTGTGCATCTATGGAATTTCTTTGGAGTTGCAATCATCTGATGGAAAAATCCAAGGACCGTTGACTGTTGTTAAAGCGCGGTTCGCCAAGCCATCCCACCTTTGGTCACCCCAGAATTTTACGGCCCATGGAGAAACCAAGGCCGAGGAAGGAATAAAAAATAAAAAAAACCCGGAAAAAAAAAACGACGGGTTGAGCCAGTCCTCCTCCCCGTGCACGGGGATACCCACGGAGCAGGTACCTCACCCCAAGGCCTATTTAGGAGTAGTGCCACATGGTTCCCGTACCTGCAGGAGGGCTCTGGAAGTCTGCTTGAAATGAGAAATATCTTGTTTACCCATGTTCAACTGGAAAGTGAATATCGATATACCCAAAAGATCTCCGTTGTCCAGAGTCATCTCCAAAGTTGGCTGGGAGGCACACCGTATCTTTCCTGGGGCGTAGGATGGTCAAAGCTTGCAAAGGATTATCACCGGGACTCTATTTCACCTCTAGCTGCGTATGTTGTAGCACTCTGTATTAAACTGAACACTTCGACCCCCCCATGGAATCAGTTACTAGCACATTGTACCTCGGAAACTAGCCCCGCGTGTCTGTGCTTTGGAGACTACTGCCCGTTCAGGTTTAAGTCGTGTCTCGACCTCCCGGTCATCCCCCGAACTTTGAGGTTTCTCTTGCAAGACACATTATTGGACCAACTTGTCGGACCCCTCTCTCGGTCTTGGCTCATGTTTGTTTCTTGCCGTGCAAACTCGGTCAGCATCGGGGATCCCGTGTCCAACGACTCGGGCGAAGCGGCACGCGGGATTTCGGCACGTCAGGGTTTCAGAGGTCTGGAGATTGTGGTGATAGTCGATGGTTCACTTCTCCAATGCTCCTCCATCACTCTGGACCACTTCATGGTTGATTCCTTCTTGTTGCACACTTCCAGTAGGATCGTTTCCTCGTTTTACCGACCTGGTAAATTGCCCGTTTCTTTGTTTACTCATCTTTAATTTGTCGAACTAATTCCTACACGCCACCGTGTATTACCGGGAAAAGTAATTGCCCTAATCAGCCCTATTCACAACGCTGAATGGTGCAAGCCGACTTGTTTCCATAGCTCTCGAGTTGATCGGGTGCTTCGACCCATTGTATATCAATCTTGTATGCCATGTTACACCGTTCTCTTGGCTGCATACAAACCCTGTGTCGATCAGATCCGAGTAATCACCACGGACGGTCACGTCTCTAAGAACGCACCGTCCGCTGAGTAAACGAACGATTGGCAATTCCTGACAACAACATAGATTGCCTCTTCATCTCTTAGCTGCGGGGCTTAACATTGTGGTCGAAGGAATCGCACGTCCGAATCTGTTGAACTGTCGGTGTCTGAGATTGACCGTGGAGACTGCCCGGAGAAATATATTATAGGAAGCCCGTGATAACGCACCATTCAATCTAGCTCCGGAGGAAACCCCTCCCATAGCCCTTCTGACGGGCAATATCCTCTAGCTACCGCGCGATACCCAAAGAAGCAAAAAATCAACACCCAGACCGCCATGCTAAGCTAGTACTAACCGGACGCACACAGCCTCGGATAATCCTCCAGAGTCCATCAAAGACCAGACTACCCCCCGTCCAAGACCAACCTCACACGTTGATGGTCTTCCCCCTTCCAGTCGGGATCGACAGGAGAACAATCACCCCACACTCACCTGACGCGAACCCTCACAACTGGCAAGTGGTTATTTTGGGGATCATGCAAAGGGATGTCTTCCGCGCTTGCTACTGGTCCCCACATAGGGCAGTTGTATATCACTATGAAAGTCAAAACTGGGATTAGCGCGACTTGAGTCCGGTGTCGGGGAGCGTTTGTGCTATCTATCGTCATAAGACGGGAAAAACAACATGCGATCACTTCGATCTTCTTTCCCCCTGTGACGCAAGGCATGGAACGTAAACACCCATTACTCCAATCATTGCCCTGTTTAGTATGGCTCCGGGGGAAGACACCCAGTTGAGTAGTTCGTAGACTTGTGTTCCCTATGCGCGCGCGAGAGAGAGAGAGTAGGTATCCCGAACTACGCTGTGGGCGAAACCAGCTCGGTTTGCAAGGCATACAACACACGCTCCCTGTCCTCCCGTGCTGCAGCAACGATGTCCTCAATTTCAGTAGATGTACGGGGTATTGGTATTGCTCTTGGCTTTGTTAAAATTAATACAGCATTGAGATACAGAGCGTATACGGATTCTTCAATCCGAGTCAAACGTGACAGTATTGTGTCTTGGGCTGACTGTCACTGTCACTGCCACTCGGGCTCCAGCGGCAGTGTTCGTGATACCATTCTAATCCTATGTTGTAGTTTTCTCCAGGATCAGAGGCTTCGATGATGGGCATGACGTACTGGTTAGATTAGCGCCGTTCGTTTGCTCTGTTACTATTGTTAGAAAGGAAATATGAGACTGCCTGCTAGGCTATGAGACATCTCTCTCTCTCTCTCTCTCTCTTTATCGCCCCTGTCAGCAGATCTGCATAGCCACCGTTGAACTCCCTGATCAGTGCCAAAATTCCATCTCTACTGGTGTCTGCTGTAAATCTAGGGGGCGGAGTTCCAACTGCACTCTTTGCTTCAAACACGGTTTCATTGTGGTTTTGTTGCGGTTTTCTAAATCTTACAGATACCGTATACCTGGGGTACTACTGGAATCCCTAGTCCGGGCATGCCAAGCAAGACAGGGATAAATTCGTGGGGGATGCTGGGGGATCGACAAGCTGCCCGGCGTGCAGTGTGTGATTGTCTACGGAGTACACAGCGCATTCATCACGGGGAGTGAATGGACAATGCAGTGATGGCACCAATGTGGGATTAAACTCCATGATCGCCCGACAGACAGGCAAAAGCCCAGATCTAACAACAGAATGGGAAGGCAATGATGCTCAGGTTTCACTGCCCTGTTTCACTAGAGTCTCTTGGCTACGCTACATCAACCCTGGGCATTGCCCATTGATAAGACTCTGAGGTCAAAACGGGATGTGTGATCGACTTGCATCCTTGGTCTCAATGTCTTGTTCTCAACAATCCGTTGTGAATCGAGCCTCAATGACACGTATCATCCAATTCGACTTGCGCCATCGGGAGATACTCTGAGTAGCTTAGATCACACCGGGATATGTGTTCAGACAATACGAAAAGAATGGAAACTAACGACCAAGAGCCATGGACCAATCTCTCAAAAAATCAATGCGTGCAAATCATCCCGACTATTGCGTCGCATCCCTGTCTTCTCTGGACAATCAATCTTGGCGCCGAGCATCTAGAAAAGACGACTGGCGCCATTCAAGAATATCCTTGGCATGCTTCTCCCATTTCCTGGGAAGTACAATGCGATAAGGTCATTCTGTGATGTGAAGTATCCTTGGCTTATCGCCTCAAACACCCTGCGAGGAATTTCCCCCTCCCTTGATCTGCTGATCGCTCTCACCTTGTACCTGTCCACCGACGCCAAGCCACGCCGTGCATCCCCTCCTCTCACATCATCGTCTTGGCGAGCATTTAACCTCTGACCAGCCCCTTTTCTTCTGTCGAGTCGGCGTGAGGTCATGGAATCTGGCTGTGATGGTCGTGGGGCGGAGTGGAGAGGAGAGGGAGTCGATAAGCGCAAGGGTGGTTGCTGGTAATGCTTGTTGTGCTTGCGTCTTGGCGGGGGCAGTGTGCATACTTGTACAGAGCACTTCATACGAATTCGGAGTACAGGCATGCACCATGGGTATGCATGTCGCTGTTTCAAATCTAGGGTCGTGCTTCTCATCGGAGGTGTCGCCTGTCCGGGGTGCATGTAGATTTGTTTTATGTCGCAAGGCCGATGCTTGGGCTTATTCTATCCCTGAGGGATTTTCTCTGGCCAAGACGGCGACTGACTGTTTCTGCTGAATATCTCTATGCTGCATTCCGAGCATTCGGTAGATATCTACTACCAAGAGATCTTGGCTGTAGAACCATGCATAACGGGGAGGATCAGTCCAGCTGACCTCGACCGGGCGTCCGTGGATGTAGTTGCTGTCCGGGTGGTTACATTGTATCCCACCCTGTCCCTTGTGGATGGGGCGATGCATTTCGCCTAAGCTGGACGTGAGTGTGGAATTCCGCGCATTAGATGTAAGTTTCTTTGATTTGAAGTGATGGAGAGAAGTTCTATAAATTTTGCATGGCTTACGCAACATGTACATCGACAGTTCATCAGCCAATGCGAGATGGTAGATATCACTTGTAGCATTGAACAAATCACATACAAGGGTTCACCTGCTGTCGGATGTAAATTGAGAGGTTCGATTCTTCAACTGTCAACGTTGAATCTTCTTGAAAAAAAAAAAACAAAAAGCAACATAAATGGCAATCGTTTTTCTGTCCTGTCTTATACTCAAAACAGCTATGGAAGCTGTCACTACAATCGGGCCCACAAGCATCGATTCATACAACATACGCCGCTTGACTATATGCGTTTCAGTACCTTCTGTATTCCCATTACCACGCTTACTGCCATAGGTCTTGAAACAGTCATCCGCATCCATCCCGCATTCTTCCGATCGCAAAAAAAATTCAGCAAGGAGATAGAGTGATGTCAGGGATCGGAATCTGACCAACAGATCCAGTTATGCCGAGCCGAGGATGGATAGCCCCTTGATGAAACTCGTTGCTCGAAGCAACCTGTGGCCATGCGGGTTTGCATGAAGACCCTGCGTCCACGTGGAGAACAGACCCGCAAGGAATCGACTCAATGAGGGTAAATGTTTCAGATGAAACCAAGACAACAACAGATATCAGAATGTGATTCTGGATCCTACAGTGCAGGGCACTAATGACCCGGGCATGTGTGTCTCAATTGCAAACTTGGCTCGCCAGCCAGAACAGTGACCCGGCATGAGCACGGCAGGATCGAGCCGTTGGAGATCGACTATAGTGTTTTGGATGCGGTCCGCGTCGCTGGTGGCGAGATGAAATCCACCGACAACGGCGTGGATTGGCACCGATCCGCCGGTGAGCTCGACGGCGTGTTTGGTGGTGTTGACTACACCAGCGTGGCTACATCCAGTGAAAACCACAAGCCCCTTCCCTGAAGAATATGTTAGATTGTTGAACCTAGGAGCGGGGTTTGGGAGGCAGATACCTTTGAGGTTGCAGATGAGAGAGCGCTCATCAACGATGCCTTCGTCAGAGAACCAGTCATTCTCATCAGGGTCATATCGCACTGCATGCTTCAGACCTGTCTCGTACGGCGTTACTCGTGGAATCTCCCCGGAGACAAGAAAGAAGTCATCAAGGACGGTGTGTGGCTCGCTCCGCTTGTCGACCACCGCACCTGCACCTTCTATCTCCTCGAAGGTAGGGTCAGCCTCGAGAGAAATGACATGCTCGGGGAGAGCTATGCCTCTGTAGGCCGGTCGGTCGGGGTGCAAGTCTGCGACGAGGTCCTCAGAGCTGCCCTCGACTCGTTTGGCATCGTTTATCATGCGGATTGCTCGCAGAAGACCACCTGCGCGAATGTCAGAACAGCTGAAGACGATATACGCCAAGGTGTCTGTTTGAATTCCGAATCACGAACCGGAGTGATCTCGATGCCAATGCGACAAATGAATCACCTCCACCGAGAAAAGATTCGGTCGTAACCGCTTCACATTTCTCTCCCAAGCCTCCTCTTCAGGACCAGCATCAAAGAGAATGGCATGTTTCGTGTCGCCTTTGGTAGCAGTCTATATATGATAGACTTAATATGACACCGCATCCAAGAGTCCAATGGTAGAACATCGCCTTACCACCAAAATCGACAAGCCATGTGCTGCGCAGCAGACATCTTCTAGCCTCAATTCCTTGCAGGCTTCCCCGCGGTCTGTCAATGTATGCTTCGAGCCCATGGCAATTGCCCCCAGATTCCCCGAGACATTGACAGTTTCCGGAGCTGGGGGCGAAAGCGGATCCAACTCATTGTCGATGATTACGATGGCTTCGAGAGAGTCCACCTCTTCTAGAGTTATAGGAAATTCCATGGAATCATCACTAGGTTAAATGATTAGAGGCATCCAGGGATTCCAAAGGGGATGTAGAAGATACCTGAAAGGATCATGGCGAATATCCAAATTCATTGCAGAAGTGAATCTCAGTGAATGTCAGAAATTCCGAAGTCTCCACCGATGTGGGGGAATCACAGTGACCTTTCCCCTGGAACAAAACTGCAAAGGAAAAGATCTCAGCTCTCGGTCTTCTCTTCCGCATTCCTCTCGTCTTTTCTACCTCATATGGTGCGGAATTTCCTCGCCGTGTCCTCGTCCTATTCTTCTCCCCCGTTACAGCACTCGGCACGTCATGCTTTCAAATCGTCTCCACATTGGTGAGCCGACCCGGTCAACTTTTCGATAAATTCCAGGGTGAAATCTGCGACACAGGATGCCAGCCGACTGTCCCGCACGATGATCTATGAATGCACAGTAACACCTTTGTCCTCGCCGTTCGCAGCCTGGTGCAGCGCATGAAGGGCGCCCGCAAGAAAGAGCCTTTGCTGAAGATGGACGACGGAGTTGCGCTCAACATCAAGGGAAGCTGTGGACCAATGCTCAGTGGTGGAGTACACATCTGCTCTGATTCGAAACCTCTGGCTGGGGTGGCAAACGCTCCAAGCGCAATTTCCACAAGACTTCGATCAAGCCTCTTCCTGCTTTGATCTCATTGGCTTCGGACGAAGGCTGCAAGGAGCAACTAAAAAGGTTCTTGGAAAGTGATGAGCTGTGGGGAGACCACGATTTGGAATCTGAGGGATTCAGCGAAAGTATGTGACACTTTGGGACCTAATGACCATGATGAATGATGAATTATGTCCAGATTGAACTGTAACTAGTGCTATACATCTTATAAATACCAAAAGACTACTTGTTTCATAATAAAATGACGGAGATTGGATGCAAATGGTGTCGGTAATAAGGGCATCGCTGAATTCCCTCAACTCCGACTCCGCGCGGAGCTACCATGGATGACGATAGAACATCACCGGGGCTTACTTGATACTCGACACTTCATATCTCTCACCATTTTGCCTTCGGTTCAGATCCGACTCGATTTGACTGCCAACTTCACTATGCAGTGATCGGGCATCTGCCTCTCCACAAACTCAGATGGCGCACGCGACCTTCCTCCGCTCTTTGCGGCCCACCGTCATCCATCCAATCTGGCGCCCGCACCGATGTGCCCACTCAAGTCAATTTCAACCCTTCGTACCCCCATCACCAAGTTCCCTAGGGAAACCCACAGAAGCAAAGACGTATAAAAGAACCATCAGATGGCTACGTCGTATAATCTACGTCTCACTAGGAACAGGCGTCGCCTACGGCATCGACAGCCAGTTCTACGCCTCATCGCTGACCCGAACAGCTCGGACCTTTTCTCTCGGTCTCTTCGTCGCCCTCGATTACAAAATTAACTTCCGCCCACACCCGCCCCTGGCCAGCTCTATTGCTGCCGTGCACGCCCGCAACGCAGAGCGCTTGTCAGATCTGTTGAGGTATAATGGCGGTCTTTATCTGAAGATAGGCCAGGCGATTGCGATGCAATCTGCCATCCTGCCCCCTGAGTTCCAGCAGATGTTCTCCCGCATGTTTGATGATGCGCCTCAGAATGACTGGAAGGATATCGAGAAGGTCATCCGGGAGGACTTTGGGAAGTCGCCTGAGGAGGTCTTTGGGATCTCGTTTACGGGTGATCCTGACAAGGGCGTGATGGAGCGCAAAGCCCGAGCCAGTGCTAGTGTTGCCCAGGTCCACTGGGCTCGTCTGCAGGATGGCAGGGAGGTCGCCATCAAGATCCAAAAACGGGAGATCGTGCAGCAGTTGGCATGGGATCTCTGGGCCTTCAAGTGAGTTTGTTCAGGTTCGAGCCGCGAGAGGATGTCATGCTAACCGTTGAAACAAATAGAGTCGTAACCTTTGTCTACAGCAAGATGTTCGACATCCCTTTCTACAGCCTCGTTCCCTATATCAGTGAGAGACTCTCGCTCGAAACAGACTTTGTAAATGAAGCTGATAACTCGGAAAACATGGCCAAGCTAGTGGCCGCTGAGCCCCGTCTACGCGACCGCGTGTATATTCCTCATGTATACCGTGAACTGAGTTCGAAGCGTATCATGACCGCCGAATGGGTAGAAGGTATACGGCTCTGGGACAAAGACGCCATCACGCGGCCCTGGCGCGGCGGCTGGCGCCAGGGAAGTCCCGGCTGTCACGGTACGCCGCTTGACCAACCGGAGACGACTTCGGCGGAGCGAAACCTGCGCGCATCGAGGACCAAGCCAGAGCGCAGTTACTGGCGAGGCCGAAACAAGCAGGGCGGACTGGGACTGTCCCTCAAGGACGTGATGACGACTATGGTAGACCTGTTCTCCGCCCAGATGTTCCTGTGGGGCTACGTCCACTGCGATCCTCACCCAGGCAACATCTTCATCCGCCGCAAGCCGTCCGGACAGGCAGAGCTGGTTCTGATCGACCACGGCCTGTACATCCATATGGAGCCGGGATTCCGACACCAATACGCGCGCTTCTGGAAAGCCCTCCTCACCTTTGACAATCGCACGCTGGGCGAGATTGTCAGGGGCTGGGGTGTGAATAATCCAGACTTCTTCGCGTCAGCAACATTGATGCGTCCCTATAGTGGCGGGGACATGTCTACACAGCGCGGTCTTCAGGGACTGAGCAGGTCGGAGCGTGCCGAGCGACTCTACGAGATGCAGCAGGGGATGCGCAAGGCGATCCGGGATATGCTAGGCGATGAAACCAAGTGGCCGCAGGAGCTGATCTTTATCGGTCGCAATCTGCGCATTGTCCAGGGTAACAATCAGTTCCTAGGCTCGCCCGTGAACCGCGTAAAGATTTCTGGTATCTGGGCGTCGCGTGCGCTTATCGAGTCGCCAGATCTGCCGCTGGCCGAAAAGATCCGTAATATTGGTCGCCATTTAGTCTTCCGTTTCGTCTTGTTTACTACGGATATCTTCTTCTATTTCACCAAGGTGCGCCAGTTCTTGCATCTGGGTGGCGGTATGGAGGATGATATCGAGGCTCAGATGCAGAATATGGCTAAGGATTTGGGGGTTGAGCTTAACCACAGTGTCTTTGAGGGATAGACTGCCCTCGGTGTTCTATAATAATATGGATGGAAAAGTTGGTATAGGATCTGTGCATACCATCTGCACCTATCTAGAAAATATCTCCGAATAATGGCTCCTTGGTGATTGGCACTACTTTCAGTGTTGGGTCTTGGCCGTTGGTGGATATATATATTTATTTTTTTTTACCCTGATCCACCCTCCGTATCGAATTCTCCCTAAATCCCCTCAAGACCATCACCACTACCCTGAGACCCAGATAAATTCCCCAACCTCCCAAGCCTAGCAAGATAAGCCGCGCCCGTGTCCGCCCAAACCTGATACTCGCAAACCGCCAACCTGCCCTCCGCAGACCCACTATCAACAGTAAGCTTAATACGATAAACGAACGTCTCATCCCACGCCTGTTGCGTCTCTTTCCAGACGAACGTGGCCGACCCGCATAATGAAACAGCCATACAGCTCGCATCAACCACCCAGTTCTCCTCGGGCTCGAAGACCATGTTCTTGATAGACAGCAGGGTGGAGATAAGCTTAAAGTAAGTTTCTATTCCATCTTGGCCAGTGAATGGACGGCCTAGAAAGGGGACTAGTTGCGGGAGACCGTGTTCGTGGACCAGGGGTTTTGGGAGTGTTGTGAAGGTTGAGAGGAGATCTTTGGGACTTGTTGGGGATGGGTTTGCGAGGGCTTTCAGGAGGGCATAGATTGGATTTAAGAGGTCTGGGCGTGTGGTCATGCTCGGAGATTGTTGTTGGTCTTCTTGGAGGTGTAGATGTGGCATTGGGAAGGGTATTGGGGACCTGGATGCGGCCTTGATATCCTTCAGGGGGGAAGGTGAGTATTGACATCAATATGACGTGGATGTATATGGTTGTTGATATCTACGATTGATGTAGTCGCACCAAAAGAACGATCTCTACTGGGGCAACCGTTGATATCAGTCATTGGGATATCTGGATTTTGGTAGATAGATCACGACGGTTTCCCATCCAGTTGCCTAGAGGAACCTCGCCCTCCAAAGGTCAATGGGTGCAGAAGACATAAATCAAAGGCCCACAGTAGAACTCCAGCGTCGGCTTTTATAGCTTGAGCTTGCTAGAAAGATGAGAATGAAAACACGAGAGAAAAGAAAGAGAAGATAGAAAGCAAGAAACACCGAGTCCCCAAAGAATAATACATTTCCGCTCCCGCAGTTCTCCCACGACCCCCAAGCTCACTGCCGCCAGGACTTACCGCAGTTCAGACACGTACAGAACAAAGTCATCGGTTCATCAGCTGCACGAGTCTGCGCTTCGGTGTAGGTAACCTTGCGCTGACCACACTTTCCACACTGCAAACTCTTACTGATACTGCGTTCCTGCTGGGCAACCATAGCCTTATCCATGTTCTCCTTCTGAATCTTGGCGTCCGCCTCACGCTGCTCAACAGAGCGCAGCTCGTCATGCGACATGCGCACAAATTGATCAGAGGTAATCTCTCCCTCGACAACGCGCACCCGCAGTTTCGGGTTGGACTTGTTCTTCAAGTTCTGGAACAGACTGCGGATCTTCGTGCGATATTCCTCCTTCGTCTCCGGTCCCAGGTACTTGTAAGCGGAAATCTCCACTGCGATGGCACGCGAAAGAATGACCTTCGGAGGCTCGGTCGACCCAACACATAGTCCATCATACATCAGCCCCGTGCAACTGTCACGTACTCGGTTCCCGGTATGGTTGATCTCCGCCCCGTCTGCCTTCCAGGTTCGCTTGTCCGGAGGCACGGATAGCTTCGACGCCTTGTCCGAGGGTGTAGCAGCGGCTGGGGTGGACGCTCCTGTAGCGTTTTGCGCTGGTCGTGGAGAGCCGCTCGAGCCCCGACTGGCTGCGGAACCACCGCCCTGTTTTTGCTTGTTCACTTCGGTCCGCCATTTGGAGACAATCTCGCTGGAGAGCCGTGCAACTTCTGGGGTCTTGCTTTGCTTGAACTTGTTGACGATGATTCCGATGCGCGTCTGTCGGAGGAGGTCTTCGGTTGCCCGTACACCGGTTTGGATGTCTTTCAGAAGGCCTAAAATCACAGCTGGAGGCTCGTTCGATGTCGCGGCCTTGCCCAAGGCCTTGGCCTTAGCTTCGATCTCTTTGGCGTCCATAGCCATGTTGTGCGGGGTAGAGGGACAACGCGATCAGAGTGCTTGCCGAGGTCAACAAAGAACCAGGCGAGAAATTTCTAGACGACCTATAAGCTACAGCTGTCAGCAAGTCATCTCTCAAGTCAGAGCACAGGGTCTTTCAAAGCTCCGGATGCCGGCGCATTCTGCAGAACCACGGCAAACACTTTTGTCCCTATGGGGATCACAGGCCATGGAGCACAAAAGTTTTCAAAGAATGTCACACGAAGTTATAGCTCTTTAGATGCCCCCCGCCTTAGAGACTCATGCGGGAGATGGTGGTGCGCTCTTAATTTTCACGTGTTCACCTTTTCCCTCATTTGCTCAAGGAAACTCGACAAAGATACACAGAAAAGCTTGAAGACAATGTCGTCCGAGTCTTTGATCACAATGTGCCAGACACATCAATGGGTATTTGCGCGAAAGAAAAACGGTGTGAGGGGTGTTTTGCGCGGGCACTCACCTGCGGATATTTCACGGTCGCGTTAACGGTGTAGTGTTGCGAGATGGCACCCGTAAAGAAAACCAAAAAAACACACGGAAAGGCGACGGCAAGGGAAGCGCCAGAAGTGACAGGTATGGTAGATGGGATATGTTAAAGCTGACGAGGTTTAGGGAATTCGATGAGCTGCAATGTCCGAGGTTTGCGCCAAGCCTTGCGTTCCATTTTTGGAAATTATTTTCCATTTTTTTATATGCAGCCTTGTATAAACAGCAACTGGTTTACTTTTCTACATTTGTGATGATTTGAATGGTTCTGCTTGCCCAGATATGTATTCCATCCAGGTGATAGTGTATCCTCCAAAGAAAACAGGGTGCTTCCATAGCTTTGCAAACAGAATCTGGGATCAAAGCAGAGGAAATTATGTGCAGGTAGGTTTTCATCATTGTAGATTGGGGGTATAACAAATGGGGGTCTTTTTGAAGGTAAACCGTAAGCGTCGTCAGTCAGATCCTCATGCCCAAAGCTTGTGAGTGGCCGTGGTCACAGAAAGGGACCGTGGATGGCCAGGAGGACACCAATGAAGGCGAGGGTGCAGGTTCTCAGCCATGGTGATATCAACGTGGCATGGGGTCGATGATGCGCTCCGTGATGAAAGGCAGGTACTGATGGAAGTGAAAATTGTCCAACAGTTCGAGAGGTTTAGATAGCCGTCTTGCCCAGAACATCAGCCAGGTCATCGATGTCCTGATCATCCCTCTGAGCAACCTTCTCTTCCTCAGCAAGATCGGCATCCTTGAGGTCCTTCTCAGCCTTGGCCTCTTCCTCCTCTTCCTCTTCCTCTTCTTCATCCTCTGCTTCTGAATCCTCCTCCTCGAGTTCATCCAACTCATCAACACCCCAAGTACCCTCGGGATCCTCGTCAGTACCGTGCTCCTCCTGTCGGGCCTCCAAGAGCTCACGCAGGTCAACAATGTTAGGGTCCTCCTCGGAGAAGATGTTTCCGTTGAGCTCGATACGACGGAGGCTAGGAAGCGCGGTTTTGGCTGCGTGCGTGAAGCTCTTGACAGCTTCCGCCTTCATCTCGTTGTATTGCAGACGCAGAGTCTGGAGCTTCTGGTTCTTGTTCGCGGCCAAAGCCTGGGCAACCTTCACACCGCCACGGGCAGAGAGCAGACAGTCGCCGACACCAAGCTCGCGCAGTTCCGGCCAGCCAGACAAGGCGTTTGACAGAGCAGTGGAGCCCACGTTGGTGAAAGTGTTGTCCTGCAGATCCAAAACCTCTAGGGAATGCGCGTGGTAGAGACCCTGGCTCAACAAGTGGGAGATACCCTCCGATCGGATCCCGTTCTGTGTCATCTTAACTGACTTTAGACCAGCCGCATGGGCCTTGTAGGCGCGAGCCCAGGCCTCCATACTCCCGTTCTCCAGGCGGTTTCGTCCGCAGACAACACTCTCCAGCAGGCCAACCTCCTCGCCACAGTTGCGAGCTTCCTCCTTGCGCTCAGCCAGCTTTGACAGCGCGTCGGCGACCTGAGATCCGGCAGCAGGGCCGAGTCCATTGTTATTCAGAATGAGGTGGCGAAGGGGTACGTGGCGCGAGAGGAATTCGATAAGCGGGGCCTGGGTTCTGAGACCGAAAGCATTGTCGTTGAGGTTCACGGTGTGGACGGTCGAGATCTTGAGGATGGCGGTCAAAAGCGAGTTCAGAGCAGTGGGAATCTCCGTTAGGAGACGACCGGTGAAGATGTCGTCGAGGTAGGCAGCTTCGAGGCACTTTTGGGTCTGTAGGACCTCAGCCAGACGTTTGGAGGCCTCAATACCCAGAGTGTTTCCACCAAGACGGATTTCAGTATAGTCGGTGTTGTCAATCAAAGGCTGAATGTGCGCGTTCATGTCCTCTGCGGTGTCGAGCTTGAGGACTTTGCCCTCGAGGGAGAAGACCTTGGGAGGGGCCATGGCGGGGTAGTTGTCGAAGTGGGTTGAGATAAGAAATAGAAATAAGATGGTATAAGCGTGAGGTCAATGGCAGACAGTATCCCAGCAATGACGAAATCCAAGTAGACCCAAGGAAAAAAAAGGGAAAACTGAAATAGTCTGTAGTGTAGCAGAAAAGGAGGCGACCCCGGAGAGGCAGGTTTGTTGATAACAAAAAAAAATAATGGCTACGGCTAACCATAGAGACCAGCTACGCTGCGCGCGCCATTAATAATATCCGATGGTGTCAGCACCGGAAGTTACCTGTAAGGACTTTGTTCACAACCTTCGTACTTAACTCCCTTTGTGTCTTTCTCTTTTACTTAAAAGATTCATCAAGCACACTTGAATATCCCTAATTATGTCTTGGCTCTTTGGTTCTTCAAATGGTAATTACCAACGTCTTTTTCCATCAACCCGAGCCGAACACTTGCGCAATGCGCCAGCTCTACACATACTTATCAGAGAATGATCTTAACCCTCGCTTACACAACGCTTACAGAGAAAAGCGCCGCTACTTCCGAGCAAGCGCCCGCTCAAACTGCCCAGTCCGAGAAGCCTAAGGTATGACCCGAAGTTGCCGAACAACATGCGCAAACGACTGACCCTGCCTTCATTTTAGCCCTGCTGCGTCTGCAAACCCGAGAAGACCGCCCGGGATGACTGCATGCTTTTCTCCAAGTCCGACAACCCTGAGCAGGAGTGCAAGTCCACGATCGAGCAGTACAAGACTTGCATGGCCGGATTTGGCTTCAAGGTTTAGACTCGAACTCTGACACAACGGCCTCGGCCGACTATACAACATTGTACTATAGCATTCATTGGCGGGAGTTTCCAATTTTTTTTTCCTTTGGGCATCGTTGTTTTAGGGCATATTTGCTCGTGTGTGACATGTTGGGATTTGGAGTTTTGGACTCTAGATGAAAGGAAAGATTTTATAAATACATCGTCTCAACTCCTAAACGAGAAATTTCAAATAAATATAATCATGGTATTTAAACGAGCAAGCAGCTGTACTGCCTCATTTTAGATAATCACATAGTATGGGGTATCACTGAAAATCATACAGCCATCCACCTAGGCAAACAATCACTGCTTCTTTTTCTGGCTTTCCTCCTCGGTCACCTGCCGACTGATCTGGCGACATTGGGTATATAGTTTCCACATACACCACAGGTAGGCAATTCCAAACCCACCGGCTCCGATCAGGGCATTCAAGACCACCCAAAGATCGGGCTTTCCGAGTGGCGGAGCCACAAAAGCCTCAAGGATATGCCAGGCAATCATGGCCAGATAGAAACCAAAGTGGAGGAGGGCTGTGAGTGTGCTTGGTTCGAACTGGGTATTGGAGTCTTCAAGGGATGGCCGACTTCGGTAGGTCTCGAAAGAAGTAGGAGGCAAGCCGAGTAGATAGGCCCAAAGCAAAGTCATAACGATGTATGGAACGCGGAGCTCATCGCGCTTAAGCAGGGGGTACATGGTCCACGAGCCAAGCACGTTGGCCCAGCCCACCCAGGCGCGTGTTGCCTTGCTCAGTCCACCGTTACCAGCAAGTAGCAAGGTCATCGGCAGTAGAGGCAGCAACACACTCTTTTCATGGACTTGGAAAGAGAACAAGAAGAATCCCCAGGAGACGGCAGATAAAGCGGGAAGAAGAAGCGAGGCCCGGGGGTGGCGGAAGATAATAGCACAAGGAACAATGATTGACGCCAATGTGGCACCGAGCGATGCTCGCTGCAAAAATGTGGCGTCAAAGCGGGTGAGCTTGTAGAAAGTGTGAATGGCGCACCAAGCGTTAGCAACTTTGTCTTCGAAGAGCCCACGAGCAAAGGGAAACACCCGATGGATGATCTGCATTAATTGGAACAAAAGCCCATATGTAACGGAGTTGTTGTCCATCTGGATGGGAAGTGCCTGCAACAGAGGTGGTACTGGAGAAGATGCAAATGCCTCTCGAGCTTCGGCATTGGAGGCACCCACCATAAGGGGAGCCAAAAGCAAAGCAAAAGTAGCCAATGTGATGAGGGCTATGCTCACAAGGCGGGGAATATTGATTCGAGGGAATGTGCAGACACCGAGAAGATAAGCGAACATGACTGGTGCGTAGTACAGCGCCATCTGCTTGAATCCTAGTGCACCAACGAAGAAGATGCAAGCCCAAAGCATACGCCCTGCCAAGATAGCATCCAAGCTCGCAACTACCAATCCCAGCATGACTGTGTTATATTGGAAATGGCCATGGTCGATGAGGATGTTCGCTGGCTGAAGGAGGATTGCCACAAGAGCAATTGAGGCGGACCATGCATGGACACCCTGCATCCGAGTGTAGCGACGGAGGAAATTGACCACGGCCGGGATGAAAACACAGTATTCGGATGCAACGACGGTGGCGCGCATGTAAACCTTTAAGCGGGGGTCCTCGAAACCTCGCGAGGCATCTAGGGCAAACCACGTTGGGTCGAAGGCGGAGCCACTAGACAGGCCGACAGGTCAGCAAGAGGCTATGCGAACTCCAAAATTGAGTGACATGTAGGGATATATACATCTTTCCTAATAGCCAACTGTGGTATGCGGTCAATGGTGGATAATCGAGACCCCAGTATTGCAGATCGTATGTGTACCACTTCGCTAAAGGCAGATGTGTGGTAATTTCCATCCAATGCCGCTGTGCCTCAAAGTCACCATGCATCGGGGGAACCTGAAAGCCTAGAAGGGTCAATTGTGGCCCAAACTACGAAAGACAGACAAGGTCACATACCGGAGTAACCCCATAGGCTCACAGCCCATCGGAATAGACCAACGGCCATGAGGACAAGTGGTAGGATCAGCCATTGAGACACGCCGGCCCGAGCAGCCCACAAAAAAGAGACCAGTGGAAATGCTGGTGATTGCTTCCACTCGCCTAGATCTAAGATCAGGTTATTGTTAGAGCCGGGGGAGATGGCAACCTTTCTCTTCTTGCGGGGGCGGTGCGAGGAGGGTGTTGGAGGGGCCATCACGATCAAGGCTTAAGGGGAAGCTATAGTTCCATTGACTGAGCTAAAGAAAAAAATCGAGCAGTTTCTGAACGAGCAGAAGTGATCGAAGTTCGACTCCAATTGACGTTAGGTCCGTAGTACAACGTAGACAAATGCAGAAGACACCGCCAATTGACACGCGATTGTGAGTTGTCGACAGCCACTGGACAGGTACCCACATAGTCTCAGGGCTAAATGCCAAGTCTAACCTTTATAGGCAGGCGGAGTGGTTCTGCCAGCCTCAGAATTTTTTTTTCAGAAAATTTTCCTTATCAGAGCTGGTGGTCCCCCGACTCTTCACTTTTTTTCTCTTCTTCTTACCATCCTCTCTACTCCTTTTCTCAGTCCCCTTTCAAAAAGCAGTCTGTCTCAGATTGCCTAACCTTTTACAATCTCTTGTATACCCAAGAGACCTCCACACACTAATCAACGCAGTCGCGTGGGTTTCAACTCGTAAGTTCGTTCGGATACTCTGTGGGCTTCTTATCACTCTGAGGGCTGTGGGCTTGACATACATCTATTCTGTGGGCTCTGTGGGACATCTTCCTCGTGGGTTACATATTCTAGACAGTATCGGCTGTCGGTTGCTTGTGGGCTTGAACTTGTCCGTCCGTGGGTAGTGGGTTAACGTCCAGCTGTGATTTAGTTCACTTCTGGCAGTTCTTCTGAGGGCTGTTGTTCCATTTTACACATCCATAATACGGGTGCTTTGAGGGATCGTGGGCTTTGCCGCACATACTACAAGAATTTCACTTGTTACTACAGTATGTGCCACCCTACCCAAGCTACAAGCCTGCCTCCAAGCCCTCTCCCCCATGAGTCCCCTCAATTACATCGAAGAGTGAAGGCTAATCTTCTCTCTCACCTCCAGTTCACAATGTCCAAGACATCTACCAAGGTTGCTGGCAAGGCCAGCAAGGCCAGCAAGGCCTTGAACAAGGTCAAGGATGCTGGTGTCACCAAGGCTTCCCAGTCCCCCGCCGCCAAGAGCAAGGCCGTTGCCAGCAAGGTCGTCGCTAAGGAGAAGGCCTCCAAAAAGAACAAGAAGAAGGAGCCTACTCCCAGCTCCTCCGAGTCCGAATCTGAGTCCGATGAGGACATGAAGGATGCTTCCTCTAGCTCCGAGTCCGAGTCCGAGTCCGAGGAGGAGAAGCCCGCCCCCAAGAAGACCGAGAAGAAGGTCGCTGCTAAGGCTGAGTCTTCCGACTCTTCCGACTCCGACTCTGACTCCTCCGAGTCTGAGGAGGAGAAGCCCGCCCCCAAGAAGACTGAGAAGAAGGTCGCTGCCAAGGCTGAGTCTTCTGACTCTTCCGACTCTGAGTCTTCTGAGTCTGAGTCCGAGGCCAAGAAGGCCTCTTCCGACTCTGAGTCCGGTTCTGACTCTGACAGCTCTGACTCGGACTCTGACTCTGAGGAGACCCCTGTCTCCAAGAAGCGTAAGGCCGATGAGGAGCCTGCTGCCACTGCCAAGAAGTCCAAGACCGAGGAGGTTCCCGAGGGTGCTGTCGCCAACCTGTTCATTGGTAACCTGTCTTGGAACGTTGATGAGGAGTGGGTCCAGCGTGAGTTCTCCGAGTTCGGTGAGCTTTCCGGTGTCCGCATTGTTACCGACCGCGAGACTGGTCGCTCCCGTGGATTCGGCTATGTTGAGTACAACAGCGCCGCCGATGCCGCTAAGGCCATGGAGGCCAAGAAGGGTACTGATCTTGATGGTCGCACTATCAACCTCGACTACGCCGCTCCTCGCCAGGCCAACACTCAGGGTGCCGACCGCTCCCAGGACCGTGCTCGCTCCTACGGTGACCAGACGAGCCCCGAGAGCGACACTCTCTTCGTTGGCAACCTTCCCTTCAGCGCTACTGAGGACGCTCTCCACGAAGTCTTCGGTGCCCAGGGCTCCGTTCTCGGAATCCGTCTTCCCACTGAGCAGGAGACTGGCCGCCCCAAGGGTTTCGGTTACGTTCAGTTCTCTTCCATCGATGAGGCCAAGGCTGCCCACGCTGCTCTCAACGGCCACGAGCTCGAGGGCCGTGCTATCCGACTTGACTTCTCTACTCCCCGTCCTGCTGGCGGTGACCGTGGTGGCTTTGGCGGCCGTGGTGGCGGTCGCGGTGGTGGCCGTGGTGGCTTCGGCGGTCGCGGCGGCGGTGGCTTCGGTGGACGCGGTGGTGGTCGCGGCGGTGGCCGTGGTGGCTTCGGCGACCGTGGCGGTCGTGGTGGTGCCCTCAACAAGGGCAAGGGCAGCATCCCTGAGTACAAGGGTACCAAGGTTACCTTCTAAACTTGAGGTTCTTTCTTGCATACGTTTGCTTTCCGCAACATATTGGTGTCCATGGGTCTCATGTTTTCTTTGAGAGGAAAAAAGTTCGTGTTTAATTATGTGTAATATGATCTTAGCTAGCTCCAGGTATCTTCAATTGATACGCCATTTCATTTTTCATTTTAATCAACTTAGCCTCCTTTTTTTCCGTCTTGCGTTACCATCGGGGGTATACTGCCGTCAGGTGCCGCCTTTTCCGCTATGTTCTTTGTTTTGCCTACCAAGTATGGTTCATTGATGTTTTGATCGAACTGTTGATGAAATAGAAAATCTCTACAGAACCTTCTAAAGTCCCAAGATTCTACAATACTATCCGAATCTCCATTCACCGACAACCCCTCGCATCGTCTTTTGCTCTTTGCCTCGTCACGGGCTGCAAATCTGCTCGGTCTGCTGATCACCTCATTACTTCGATTGTTTCCACCGGGAGGATCTATTTCATTCTTCTTTTATCACTCCTCGCTTCTGTCCCGCGATCTTATTCCGACCATACAAATTTCTTTCAACTCCTTTCAACTCCTGATTCTTGTGAGGAAAGAGAACGAACCCCCTCGTGCATCAGTGCATCAGTGATCGTCGACTCCACATTTGATAAGATAATCTCACCCCACCCACGTTGACCGCTCTATTGTGCTCCAGTGGCCTGATCCGCTCTCTTCTATTTTTCCACTCACATACCCCTTCTCCTCATATTCTTGCAATTTTTTGGCTATGCAACCAAATCGCTGCGACCTGCTGGGTAGTGTGCGTGAGCCTAGAGCCGCCGCAAGTCGGATGACGCGCGACGGTCATCAGTTGCTTCGAGATAACGGTCAGCCTCAGCAACCCTGTGCAGCGCCCATGAGATCAGAAGGTATGTGGTCCTTTTAAATCTGACTAGTACTTACCCTGCAAATGAGAATCTGTGAAATCTAACTTGCATGCAAAATCGCGTTCACATCTCCATAATGTACTCACTACGAATAGATTCCTGGATCGACGTGTCCTCGCCGCCGTCCTCTTCTTCCTTCTCCTCTACTGCTACGAATGAAGATATAATCACCACTGGCTTACAGGTAGAGTATGGAGAAGCGGGCGCATATCGGCGTCGCACTCGGCGACGCTGTCTACAACATCTTGCTGCTATCACCACAGCCCAGTTGGACTATGCATCGCGGGATGCTAGCCAAGCCAGTAGCAGTCAAGAGGAATACGAGGAAAGTGAAAGCGAGTCTGATCACGTCCTCAGCAGCTCAAATGAAGATGTAATCCGCCCAAAGCTCCCGGCTGCATTATCTGCGCGCTCTGCACCGTTATCATCATGTTCAGACGCTGCCTCCAGCGATGATGAAGATGATACTTCTACTGCGCTAGGGATGGGAATCAGCCCATCTCCTTTCGTACCTCAACCAAATATATTCACACACCCACCAGCCACATCAGAACCTGGATGGCCTGCACGGCGTCTTCAACCCAGCGTCCCGTCAACCTCTACCCGCCGCGCAACCTCTCGAAGAGAATCTTACAATAGCCCAAGATCATCGCAGAGAACCCATTTTAACCACAGTCCTTACAATATGGTCTCACCTTCCCACCATGCCGACCACGATGCTGCCCTTCGCGCCAGCTTATCAACACTTCTTTCATGTGCAGCTGCCGCTAGAGGCCTCCCGAAGAACGACAATCGACTATCACCTACCCCAGCTGCTCCCCCTGGAGGTGGACAACCCGCTTCGTTCCGACTGGTAGGTGCATCAGTTGCTATGGGAGATGAGACTAGCGACGATGAGACCTCACCCCCGCCGCAGTATCCAGAATCAAATCCATCCATAGGGGCACCAACTGTCGCCAAAGTAAAGCGCCGTTCAATTTTCCCTAAAGACCGCGGTGCTGCCTCGAAGAAGAGTCGCCGCGTGAGCATGACAGACTCGACCATGACTGTGAGCCCCACGATCATGACATGGGTCATCAGCGCCGGGGTTGTCGTTCTATTCTCCGCAATCAGCTTTTCAGCAGGATACATGATAGGCCGTGAGGTCGGGCAAGCTGAGGTTGGAATGATGGGAGATGGTGTTCCCGACCCTCGCCCCTCAGCAGCGTGTGGCCAGGAAGCGGTCCGCGGCGGACTCCGAAAACTGCGCTGGGGATCTGCGGCTGCGGGATCTGCTAGCCTTGCATCAATGTAATGTTTCATGATGAATGGCGAAGATGATGTTAACGAATTACGATCTCAATATAGGAGGATGTGCCGCTCAGTCTGACCGTGGATGCGTGTGCCGTAATATCCTAATATTTCTCTGTTTGATTCATATTCTACTCCCATCTCATTGACTGGTTGTCATTGGGCTTCGGTTGATATATGCCGGGAGATCTCACGACCTGCTGACAGTCAAAAATCGGCGCATCTTTATGGATTACGCAAGTGGCGTCTGTTTTGGAGGAACGGAGTGTCGGTTCTGAGCCCATTTAGGGCTCTTCTGATGGGTTCTTTATGATTTCTTATGACGCCCAATCTATACCCTCTTTTTCTCAACCTATCTTTTATACGTCGAATGAATGACTCTCCAACAAAATTGGGCTCAGTCGACATCCACATCTCCTTGTAGTATCTCGAGCCATATTTCAAGCAGTGTCCCATGCATTTCCCCACGCATTCAACAGAATGAACAAGTCTCACCTCTCACCATCACACAACGTGTAGTCAGCGGCAACTCCCTCAGCAGTGTTACCGGTCCAGATCTCGACTGTGCCTCCTTATGATGCACTTCCTCTGTCGAAGTTCTCCAGCCAAGTCGGACTCGTTCCTGGAAATCCCATTGGATCAGGAGATGACTGGCCCAAGTCAATGTTGATGTTAGTTAGGGTGTGCTGTGGACCGCTATTTTCTTAGCGCTCCCTAATTTAACCCTCAGAGGACCATGGCGCATCTAGAATTGAGTTTGTACCAGACAGGCTTCCACGGGATCAACCACGCTAGCAAGCGCATGATCGAGGATCTCATTTGGACTTCTTGTTCAGGGACACCTTGGACCTGTGAGTGCGACCACTCTCAAAAAGGGAGCATAGTTAGGTCAAACCCCGGTGTAGAAATCGCTCTGATAGACTGACTTGGGTGAGGTGATTTGAATGTCATTTGTAGAAGGCTTATGCGAGAGAGAACCAAGCAAATTAAAGCATGGATTTACGTTCTGCACGTTGAGAGCAAGGTGGATCGTCAGCAGGAGTAGCCAATAGCAGTTGTCTTCCCCACTGGATTGCGTAGTGATCCGCTGCACATGGAGGTTAATAGCCAAAATGGGTTACACAGCTACCATCCCGGCCCCTTGGTTCCTTTTTTTTTAGAGCACCATCAGGAATCTCCGCTGTCCCTGATGGATGCAATCAAAATTCTACTTGCCTCTGAGACTTCTTCTTCGGATATTTAATAATCCGGCGGGGAGGTGTCCAAAGTCCCCGCCTTTCCGGGCCGTTGGGTTCCTACCAATGCCGGCTGTACTTGCCTAAAATGGACGATGCCTGGGCTGATAACAAATCAGCGATGCTATAATCTGAGACGTTGGGGGGTTGAGTTCGGTGAGAAATTGTTCTTATACAATTGGCTTCGGATCTTTCCATCTTTCACCTTATCCTACTCTGACACCTCAATTTTAGCGGCTATTCAATATGTTCTTTCAAAGCGTTCATGAGGAGAAAGACAAAGAGGTCTTGCTCCATTTCATCCGGCAAAACCCACTCGGGATTTTGATCACCGGTATGAACTCTTCCCAGCAAGATTTCCTACAATGCACCCATGCCCCATTTGTGGTGGATTTCCCCGAGGAAACCGGCAAGGCGGAACCCTATCTCCGCGCCCACATCGCCAAGCAGAATCCGCAAGTCAAGACGATGATGGAGGTCGTCGATGACAAGCCGCCGAACGTTCTTGAACTGGACAACGACGTCCTTGTGCTCTTCAATGGCAAGCACGACCATTACGTGACTCCGAAATTCTATGTCGAGACCAAGCCAGAAACAGGGAAGGTTGTGCCCACATGGAACTACTCCGCCGTCCAAGCGTATGGCAAGATGTCGCTATACTACGATTCCAAAACACCCGAGACCGGCGCATTCCTCACCAAGCAGCTGCATGATCTTTCGCAACATGCCGAGACGTCAATCATGGGGTACACTGGTGGCGAGAAACCGCAGCCGTGGGATGTGTCCGAGGCGCCTGACTCGTATATTGATCTCCTGAAGAAGAACATCGTTGGGATTGAGATTCGAATTACCAAGCTTCAGGGGAAGTTTAAGATGAGCCAGGAACAGCGAGTTGGGGATCGTGAGGGTGTCATCCAGGGTTTCGCAAGGTTGGGAGGTGAGACCGGCAATGCGATTTCGAATTTGGTTAAAGAGCGTGGTGACCTGCGTGATGCGAAGAAATGAGACACTTGATGATCGATTAAAGATGTAGCACGGGATTGCTCATCTTTTAAAGTGATCTCCATGGAAATTACTAGTAGATCGCAAACCTACCGTGTACATTGTATGTGCTGGCCCTAGACTGAGATTCACTTCCCCTCGAAGATGGGTGCATATTGAAAAAAGGAAAAAAAAACAGATTTTTTTTAAGAAGGAATTCTAGTGTATTGGCCGTAGCTAGCAGTCTTAATTAAGGACAGGGCTCGGAGTAGCCGATGTGTTTAACCGATCTCCATCAGCCAATGTACAAGGATCCGACCACCAACTCAAGAGAACCCCAGTTACTGGGGGGTGGATCCGTTCATCGTGGGGATCAGGATCCGGCCGAGAATGACAGTGCTTCGTGCCGTACCCTGATCCGCAACCCAAGCCCCGTAAGCTGAGCACGGAAACGAACGTAAACAGCCAAGAAATGCCAGAGTATCTAAATGTTGTAACCCGAGGGACCCCCTCTGTGTTCATGGTTGGTACATGTTCTATATTAAGCTTATCTCGTTTCCTAAATTAATGACCAAGTAGTTGCCACACCGATAACTAGATAATACCCCTAAATAGGGACAAAGGCCTATGTCGGAGATTGAGGATTCGCATAGGTTTTGTTCAAAGATTAGACATGATAAGGGAGGACTATGCAGAGCTAAATATTAGTCAAAAGGATTGATTTTCTGATTGTAGTGGGGTTTAGTCTTCTCCACAGAGAAATCCGAGCTCTCGTGATCCCATCAAATTCTATAGATCGAAAATTAGGGCTTGTGCAGCTTATTATGCGAGCTTCTATTGGCCACTTGACCCGATTGGCGGTTGAAGCATGCCCCCCACGGACGACGGATTGTCTGCCCGAGTAGAGGTTGGGTTTGACAGCGCTTGGCCCGATAACCCACCTCTGCGTTAAATCCCCCGCCTTGTAGAACGGGTTGTAGTACGGATTGTAGTGCTGTGGTGGCGGGTTGGCGGGTTCAATTTCTTTTTTCGGAAGTTCAACCCGCCTGGCGATGGGTTGCCCTACCAAACTAGAATCAGGCCGTTCATATGACCGGGGTATACACATGGCTACCAGTCCGATATCAAATTGTTGCAGGGCATATAAAGAGGTCTTTCTGATCACCAGTAGAGTATCAAACATTCGAAGACAATTTCCATTGTACCTTCTTCATCATGACTTCGATGTTCAACTACTTTGGCTTCAATGCCGCTACCCCCAAGAAAGATACCAAGCCTTCCCCTGTGTGCCTTGCCTGCATCATGGTACACTTCACCAGAGATGTATGAACTGGAGCGCCGAGCCATTTTCTCAAAGAGATGGCTCTTTATCACCCACAGCATGCGGTTGAAGAAGACCGGTGACTGGCTTCGTTATGAGCTTGCAGGGTTCGATTTCATTATTACTCGCGACCGAGAGGGCAAGATAAACGCATTCCACAACGTGTGCAGACACCGTGCGTACCCGGTCGTTGAGAAAGAGGGTTCCGGAAATTCCCAAATCCTCGCTTGTCGATACCACGGCTGGTCCTACGGACTCAATGGCAAACTCGCCAAAGCTGCAAAATACCAAGAGCTGAGCAACTTCGACAAGGAACAGAACGGACTGTACAAAATCCACCTCAAGGTTGACGTCAATGGCTTCATCTGGATCAACATGGATGCGAATGAAGTCCCCGAGGTATCCTGGGAGGAACACTTCCGCGACGTCGACAAGCAAGAACGCTACAAAGCCTACAACTTCGAAGACTATGATCTTGACCACACCTATGCGCTTCAGGGCGACTATAACTGGAAGATTCTGGCGGACAACTTCAACGAATGTTACCACTGCCCTACGACCCACGCCGATATCCCTGAATTCCTCAACCTCGAATCTTTCGATAGCGATCTCAAAGATGGACACATTCAACACCACTGCGAATCCACGCCAGAGCAAATCCAGAAGGGTCTTTACACTGCCAGCACCTATTACTTCCCCATGTCTGCCATGGTTGTCTCGTAAGTGTTCCAACTCTGTGCCGTCTTAAAGAAAACTTCCGCTAACGTCGACAGGCCTCATTTCATTATGATCCAGAAGTTCCTCCCCTCCAGCGCAAAGAGCTCCCAGATGGCCTATGAAGTCTACCGAAACCGAAACTCTTCCGATGCCGACTTTAAGCTTATCAGTGAGATGTACGCGCGCGTCATGGGAGAAGACAAAATCCTCTGTAACAACGCACAGAAGAACCTCGACCGAAATGTCTTCACAAGTGGTGAGCTTCACCCCAGGTGGGAGAAGGCGCCGTTGTTCTTCCAAAGCACAGTCCGCGATGTCATCACAGAGCACTTTGAGCGCGAGAAAGCCGCGGGGCGGGAGATCTGGCCGGCGAAGCCGAAGGTGACATGCAACGCAAATCTTAATGAGAAGGATGAGCAGATTTGTGCGGCCCTGGCCTGTGGAGCTCAGAAAGAGGTTTTGGCGTGGTGATTGTTAGGTGTTTCTCTATCGGGTTCTCTGTAATTAGTTTATGATGTGTGGACTTTCTTGATCTGATTTTAGCCTTCTTCTTTTCATCTTTACCATGTCAGCAATGAGATCTTGTTTCAAAAGACGACCATATTGCGTCTCTTCATGTTGGCTATCATGTACATCCATCACGCCGATTCTCACCCTTCTTCGACTCCATTTCTTGCCGCCTCCTCATACCGTAAAATCTCAGCTGGCTGACTGTAGATGGTCCCGGTAGTTTTCTTTTTAAAAGTCAACTGGCTTCTTCACTACCTCACCGTCTTCTCGGGGACACAGGTGCAAGTGTAACCAAAGTTGACATTTTCATTCGGTCGATCTCCAGGTGCAGGGGATACTGGTGTGGTTGTTAAGCCCCTCGTGACGGTTAATGATGAGGGTTACTCCTAGGGAGGAGGGGAATTAATGTGCGGTACAGGCACACGCCGGCAGCAAACACAAGAAGCTGTCAATGCCCGAGAAACCAGGCAGACAAATCAGGCATACACATGGCCTACAGGAGAATTGGCAAACTTTCGCACAGGAAGCCAAGATAAAAGCGAAAGCAGATCCCCTATAAGCTTAGTTGAGCCAATTAAAGGGGACGAAAGACCACAAAGAGGCGAAAATCGACCGGCGTCTGAAATGTTGAGACATTTTGGGCCGTCAACACACGCTAACCTCCTTCTGCCTAAGGATGCCTAGAAATAGCGCCAAACAACATCCGCATCGGGTCTAGCAAGGAAGGGAAGATTGATAAGAAGGTCTGATACCATCTTTTCTAATAAAAATTGGTATCCTCCATAGCAAAAGAGCATGGCCTCAGTCAATATCCCCCCGGAGCTACTTGCGATCATCACGTCTCTATCGAACACGGAAACCCTCAAGGCCCTGAGGCTGACAAACCACATGCTATGCGTCTTCGCAACCAGTTCATTGTTCTCCACAATTTCACTGTACACCGACGATAAAAGCTGTGAGGCTTTCGAATCTGTTATAACACATACGCAGTTGAAAGAACAGGTCCACAAGATTCGCCTCAATACTGTCGAGGTCGACTATGTAAGTGATGTATCGAACTGAGGTGGAGCATTCTGAACTACTGTCCCCTCAATGGTTGGCTCATATGTAGCGCACTAGGACTCCGATGGGGATCACGAAGGACTTGAGCTACCTTTCAGATGGAAGGAGCTCCTACCTATGCTTCGGAAAATTCCAAACCTTGAAAGCGTCGTTCTGCGCTTCGACAAAAACGGCACGGGCGATGACAGTTATAGTGAGGCACCCCAGTCAGTTGATTACCGAGGAACCATCTTGCGATGGCTGAGTGCAGCGCTGGTTACTTTAAAGCGACCATTGAAAGAACTAGGGATCCAGAACCACCAGAATGTGACACCATCGAACACAGATCTACAGCAAGTATTGTGCACATTGAGCTCGTTGAGACTGAATGTTTTGCATGAATCCGAACCTGCGTGCCCTGAAAACGAAATCGAGGTTTGCAAATCACCCAAGCTTATCCACAGTTGCAAAATATGCCTCGGGATCATTCCTCGTGCTAATTCGACGAACTTTCTGGCAGAAAGACGAAGTGCAAGAATTCTACGCACGTGTACTGCCGTCAATCTGGCTAAAACCCACGATGGGATCACTCCGGAAGCTCTCTCTCTACTCCAATTTTTACTGGGGGTTTTATCCCAAACTCAGTCTCGAAAGTATTCATTGCCCAAATTTACAGTCGCTCACCTTGGGAAACTTTTGTTTTTTCGAAGACCAGCAGGTCGACTGGATTCTGTCCCACTCATCAACCCTTGAAGAACTTCATCTTGACGATTGTCCGATTTTGTTCCGAGCGAGAATACTGAATGACGAAGACCAGCTTGCCAAGTGTCCGATACCGAGATCCAGAATGAAGTTATACTCTGATGAAAGGTGGAGCGATGCCTGGCACTACCATTATCCACGCCAGTGGAATGGCCATTTTGCCTCCTTTGAGACAGGTCTTCCACATCTCCGTCGGTTTGCAATTGGTCACAATGGAGCATGGGATTCAGATTCGGGGTATGGGGTGCCATTTGAGAAAGAACTGGACCTGGTGCCGGCATTGATGCATGACCGGTACATGGCATTTGATGGTGGTCTCGGACCCTCCCAGTTTCTTTCACCAAGGTGGAACGATGGAGCGCAGGAGTGGCCACAGTGTGATGACACAGACCGTGAGGCTTTGAAGGCATTGTATTGGAAGATCAAGCAGCAGGTAGACTATGGAGAGTTTACTGTAGGAGATCACGAGGTGGTCGATTTGGTAGAACCTCATCCCTGATGAACCGAATCAACTGAATGACCAAAACAAGCAACTGTTCTAGATTTCTTTTATAGAAGAGCTCCGAGCTCATTTTACTTTCGTTCCCTTTGTCCCAGGTTGTGAATCTCTATATCTCCTGGAGATGTGAGTCCAAGTCCACAGTGACAGAGATCTAGAATTAATAAATGCTGCTGTTTCATTGGCCCACAAAGTGGGGGAGATCACGGCACGTGATCCAGAAGTTCTGGAAAAGTAAAAGCCGGACCAATCACAAGGCGATGATAGCCGGGTATGTAAGAGGGGGCTCATATCCCGGGGCTTATCCGCGGGTAAGAGCTACCCCGGTCCCCCCGCGCTGATATAATAGCGGACCAGCTGCCCCTCGGCTGTTGAAGGCTGACCGGTGCCAGAATGGAACCATCTTGGATTCACGCGATCGTAACATTCGGCAAGTGGCAGCGGGATTTTGGTGGGTTTGGCACCATCACGATTTCCCCACGTCAATGACCAGCCGAACGATATGCCGTCGCCCACCTTGTATATAGACCCTTGAAGATCGCGCTCAGCCTTTTGACTTCTTATTTCTTACCACTCTCTTCAAGAACAAAAAATGCCTTCCACTCGCCAGTTCGACCCCACTTTCACCGCCTCTGTCATCAATGGCATGGGCCCCAAAACCCCCGAGCGTGCTCGCGTGGTCTTGGGTTCTCTGATCAAGCACATCCACGACTTCGCTCGTGAGGTCGAACTGACTCCCGCCGAGTGGATGCTCGGCGTTGAGTTCATCAACTCGATCGGCCAAATCAGCACTCCGATCCGCAACGAAGGTCACCGCATTTGCGACGTGATCGGCCTAGAGTCGTAAGTTTCACGCCCGAGTTGTATTTTGGGGGGTGTTTTTTGAAAAATACAAAAACGAAGAACACGGAGAAAAAGGAAGAAGGAAAGCTAACTGATCTCACTAGTCTCGTCGATGAGATCGCCAATAAGATCGTCACCGAGGACGGTGTAGCCCCTACCTCCAATGTCATTCTTGGCCCCTTCTGGTCTCCAAACGCTCCCTTCCGCGCTCTCGGCGACAGCATCATCCAAGACCCGAATCCCAATGGCCGTGTCACTTTCATGCACGGTGTCATCAGGGACATGGAAAGTGGAAATCCGATCGTCGGCGCAGTTCTGGACATCTGGCAAGCATCGGCCAACGGCCAATACGATTTCCAGGACCCTGCCCAGACCGACAACAACCTTCGCGGCAAGTTCCGATCGAATGAGAAGGGAGAATTCAACTGGTACTGCTACCACCCCACTCCTTACTCCCTGCCGACCGACGGCCCCGCCGGTGTTCTGCTCAACCTCATGGACCGCTCGCCTATGCGTCCCGCTCACATCCACCTGATGATCACTCACCCGGAATACGCGACCGTAATCAACCAGATCTACCCCAGCGATGATCCCCACCTCGCCATTGACTCCGTCTTCGCTGTCAAAGATGATCTCGTTGTGGAGTTTAAGCCCAAGACCAACGACCCCAAGGCTACCCTCGACTTAGAGTACAACGTGAAGATGGCCCTCAAGAAGCACCACCCTAACCCCAACTCTGCTCCTCCCGTATCCTCTTTTGAGCGTCACTCGAAGGCGGCTAAGGAGGCTCAGGCCCAGGGAAAGCTTTAAGCGGGTGAAAAAATGATTGCACAAATGGGACGGCGTTCAACAATACTCATGTACATATAGCATTTACTTGAATTTCCACGAGATAATCTCTCACGTTTTCACGATTCATTTGTCTGTTTCGTTACAATCTCGCACCTTGCTGTCGCGTAGAAAGCCCGTGCTACCCACGGTGCAATTTCAAGGCTCGCACCCTGGCCAGGCACGTGTAACCTTCTAGATGGCGTCGATCTCCCGCAATGTAGCCCACATCTTGACTTGCATGAGCCCGCCTGCATGACAACTCTGGCCTGGAATCCGGGGGTTAGCACATCTTAGCCAGTAAGATTTAACGCCGGCCTGGCCACTAAACATTCTTCCGCCAATCAAGATATGGAGGCTATGTCACTACACCCTTCTTACAGAATCAAGAATCAAGGTGTCCTCCAAGTAGTGCGAAAGATGTCTCGTTTATTGACTAGCAACAACCGAGAAAGAGCCAACTATACTTCTGTACATCCACTTAGAAAGTCCTCCGTGGATGTCCAGATGGGTCAGGCCGCCAAGAAATCTCAATTTCCTCCTCGCTTGGTTCGCGGTAGGCCTTGCTGGACTGGGGTACTACATTGCGGAAGCGGTCTTCGTTGATTATATTGGTTTCAGCAATGGCCTCCTTATAATCCCGGGCTGGGGGGGGGGGGGGGTGTTGTTAGCAGGTCTGAAAAGATGAGGAAGAGAGCATAGAACGGCTTTGGTGAAGTGCGTACTCATTCTTTCGTCGATATCGGAGGAACCGGGCTGAACAGGGTCTTTCATCTCTGGAGCATCATTCGGCTCCTGCTCGTGCTCGGGGCGAATCGCTTTAGATTGGGAGCGATTGACCATTTTTTTCCAGCTTGAATTATCGAACGTCAGATTTGGAAGATGAATTCAGTAATTTGCAATGAGGGAAGTGTTGGGGGAGTTTGCTGGTGTTTGAAGATGTGGCTGTAGATATATGCTTGACAGGTTCTGTGTTGTCATCATGACTGTTGATGACATTTTTTTTTGTCTGTCGCCCGCTTGAAACTCGCCTCCTTTTAGGGGAGTTTCTCCAACTAGAATTTCAATCCATCAGTTGGAGTTAGCTTATAGTAACTCCGTGATATCAAGCCCTAGAGAACGTTTAACGGAGTTCGAACCCTTACAACAGAGGGTAATACTGTCAAGGGTACCCAAGCACATTTTCATTTGGAAATTCGCCCCAAATGTCATCATATCAGGGTTTGGCCACCCGACGGCGGAGTCATACCCCCTTTCCTAGTAATGATTTTATGAAGCCCGAAACACACTACGGAAATTCATCTTTTTTAGTCCGAGTTGAGCAAGATCGCATTCAAGAGTGTTTCCTTTTCGGACACATCCATGATTTGGCTCAGCACTACCGCTGCTAGCTCACTCCATTGCATACTAGGAAGGTGCCGTCTCAAATGACTCACGATATGGAAAAGTTCGGTTACCAGAGCTCTTGACCAAGTCATGGTGTTGGAAATCACGCTCGGCTGAGCGATGCCAACCCCTACTCCCTCATTCTTAGTGGAAAATCTGGCTTCTTTGTCGGTTCACAAGGAGTCTCTTCCACACTCAAGTGCATAAACGAAAGGGACATGCCGGTCCAGCCTTGTACACGGCTTCAAATCCAAGCTTGGTACGTTCTAACAAAACGTTACAGCCAACTATCCCGCCGGACCATAACAGAAAAACCTCGGTTCCTGTTTGCGGCCTATCCCAGTCTAACCTTTCCATGCACGATGCTTCCTACATGGGCTGTACCCACATTCCGGCCCGAGCCGGCGCTAACCGATTTTAGGCATTGATCATCGGAGGTGATTCAAGGTCTGAGCTAGTATGTTGTGATGTACGTCATAGGACGGGCAAGAGGACGTATTGAAAATCTTGAAAAGCTGTTGAAACCGAGGCTATTCTCATCATGATCAAGTGTGAGAGAGCTGCATTCGTTCACGGTTGTTTCAAAGGATACATGCTACGGGGCATTTACCGCCTCGTCTTTGTCACATTTTGGTGCGGTTCTTGTTCTGCTTTGCACATTCCATTAGCCCGAACTTGAGACTGTATGAGGGTGGCCGAGTCACCACGTATTGTGACACTCCATGTCGACTGAGATCCTGCAGAAACCGAATCTGGCTAGTCAAGATCCCCATAATGACCGATGAACAAGCATCACATTACTCCCACAGAGCTGCCCCGGTGCACAATGTAGAGCAGAGCCGCGTACCGAAGGTCACATGGAGTTCGAGGACTATAGCCATTTAACAATTTCAAATCCGTACAACCTTTGATCGGTCCGGAAGGAGATGGTAAGCTTATCAACATTCGAACCTCGCAATATTTATAACTATGGCTAGCTACCGTGAGTAGCTTCCGTGCAATAGTCCTCGAGATAAGCCCCGTCTAATCATACTGGGGGCAATAGGATGACGCAGGTCCGGAAAGCGGATGCATATAGATGCAGGCCACGCCCCTTGGCCTTGATTGCCTTTTTGGTTAATTTGAACTCTCAAAAATCGTAGTTTGTAATTAACTTACTATCGAAGATTTAGAATCATTAAACAAGATATGTGTGCTGCACTATTATCCCTACCACAATCGGCTAGTGTAGCCCCCCGTGTATGCGACACTCTCGCGTGGCTCTTTCAGGGAAATATTAACCAATGATAGAGGGGTTTTATTCGTCCTGTGGGGGAAAAAGGGGGTACAATGTACATCTCATGTAACTCTGGTCAGTCGATCAATTCACGTACCATCCAAGGTCCTTTCTTTGTATTCACAGTGGGTTGATGTTTGTGGTTGCAACAACATCAAATGCTGTCTTCCGTGACCACGAGGAAAATGTACAAGGTTCCATCGGACTTGCTTTCAAGAAACCCTTTCCATCGGGTTGAAGCTGTCGTACTGTGAAGGAGAGGGGTAGGTTAGATGTGTGAGATTTCCGGGTGTTTCGGCTTTATCTCTCTCTGCAACCCAACCCATCTCATACGCTCCAGCCACACATCTAGATCCCCATATTTGTCAACTAGTTCTATACAACAAATGTGGACATGGCTAAAGCCCAGATTGAAGTAAGGACACTATGCTTCCTCCATGCCTTCATGTGATCTACAGGAGATTCACGAAGTACATCAAACAATGTAGCTATCATCCTACTTCTGCGTCGGAAATTGAAGAGCATGTTCTGAAACGATTCAAGGACACAATTAATCCCCCGTACGTTATGGCGAGAATTCAACTGCTTTGTGCTACACACCCTTCATTCCACTAGGCCGAGAGCCAGCTCTTCCCTCCAGTTCAGCTTGTCCTGTTCTAGTACGCCGGTGTCATTTCAGATACCAATTCCAAATAACTGTCCACGTGCTACATGTGCTGCCATTGACAGCGATGTGTAAGAACCAGTCGGCGTAGCATGTCCACACAACAACCTGCCACACTGCTAACAATTTAACAACCCGAGCCTCAATATTCATGAGCAACTACCCGATTTGGTAACAGACCTGACATCGGAATGACAGATCATTCAACCTCTGCTCAACAACCGCCAAACATGGCGAGCCGGCTGGTATATGCTACCCCCATCCAGCTTGTCTATACTACCTAAATGGCGTGATCCCTAAAACAAACGAACGCCGCAGCCAGCACAGGGACGGAAGTTTACTCATAGCTATCAAGGTCATTAACCGTTTACCCTTGACATAGTACCATCTTATTTACCTAGAAATGGCAACCGAGTCATGAGTGTAAGGTTGGTTAGGATATAGTGCCGATCACATCGTGCGTGAGGTGTGATGTTTAGGCATCGTCGGAGAAGAAGAGTGGACTTTCGACAAGTACAGATTACTGAACGTGGAAGATCGTGAATTAGCCTGTTTAAGGGAGAGTGTCTGCCGAAAGAAAGAGTCAATCTATAAATTGCCGACGTTTGAGCAACTCAGGCTTGAGGGCACTCAACAGTCTCACTAACTAGCTATCAGCTATAAATACCCCACTGCAAACATCAATCTCACAAGCCAGGTAGTTTTGACTTTCTTGAAGGCATAGTACTATCTAAACATCATCACCCTCTTCAACTCCTCATTATGTCGGGTTCACGACAGCAGCCTGGACTGGTAAGACACTAGCCACCTAGCTTATAAGTTGACTCTTGGCACTGATAAATCAGGCTTGCGAGGAATGCCGCAAAAAGAAACTTCGATGCGATAGGCGGCGACCTCAATGTGATCAGTGCGAGGATTCAGGCACAGCATGCCTTGTCAATCAGGTTCGCTCACCACGGGGCCCTAAAAAGGGACATCTCAAGGCTTTGCGCAATCGCATTGGTTTGCTAGAGATACACCCTACACACCTTCTCTGCTAATGTTACTCTTAGCCACATTGGAAAGTATGATCAATTCTGAGCAGAGCCATCTCGGTCCCGAGGGATTGTTGAAAGGCAATGAGAAGTATCACTCCGAAGAGACGGCTCAATTGCTCAGCCCCCCTCAGGAGTATATCCCCAATCACACGAAAACAGAATGTCATGAGATGCCCTACTCCATCGAGACATTAACAATGACCCCACCGGATACTGAGAGCGCAGATGTCATTGAGGCAGATCTGTACGGAAACCCCCCCAAGCTACAAGTTCGGATCCGTCTAACAGCTAGTAAAGGGATCAACTTTATTTTGACAGAGTACACCCTGTCGTGCCGATGCTTCACCAAGGCCGGTACTTCTCCTGGTCACAAAGATTCAACAAACCAGCCTCTTACCTCTGCTTGCAATTTGCCATGTGGGCACTTGCCGCAGCCTCATCTGCCCATTTACAGCATATGCGGGAATCTCTCTACACCCGAGCGCGTTCCGGGATCGAGACTTTAAATCACGATATTGAATCGAGCAGCGCCGCCTGTCTCCAGGCAGCACAAGCATGGCTTCTTCTAACGCACTACGAATTTCGGTATATGAGCTACCGCCGAGCATGGCTTACCGCAGGACGCGCCTTTCGCATTATCCAACTGGCCAAATTACACGAGATTGATCGGCTCACTGACGTTGGCATAAACATGGTGCATCCCGCGGCATGGGCCGAGGCCGAGGAAAAGCGACGGACCTACTGGCTCGCCTATTGTCTAGACCGCTTCCTCAATATCTCTGACGAGTGGCCTCTCAGTCTACACGAGGAAGCAGTGAGCCAAGACTTCCGTTTTCCACAGAATGCCCCGAGTCACACTAACATCTACTTCAGCTCTGCGTATATCTCCCCGTCTCGGAATCGGACTTTCAGCACAGCAGGTCGGTTATTATGGACTCCTTATATGACGAGATCGAGACCTCCGGACGGAAATTGTTACCGCCTTTCGCCGAGACAATCGTCCTGATCACACTATGCTGGCACAGCGTTGCATTCCACCGCGCCGTCCCCCGCGACAAAGAATCTCCGACAGACGGGGATACCTGGAAGCGCCATACCCGGCTCTACCAAAGGGTACAAGAGCGGCTGATGCTGGTCTCACTCCCCCCGTCCTCGCCCGAGCTCCACGATCCCATGCGGCTATTCACAAACATGCTCGCCAATGCCGCGGTCATTTGGTTCTACAACATCAGGAAGACCCTGCAGGTGGAAATTGATCAGGAAATGATCCTGGTTTCTCTCTACTCCGCATACGAGATAGTAGGTTTGGCGAAGCCTCTCACCCGATCCAGCTTTTTCAAGGTGAGACTACCCCCCCTTTTCCTCCCCGTGAATCGGTGATTCCGGTGTCTCACGAGGTTGCACAGGCGCATGCGTTTTCTCCCATGCTACTCTATCTCTCAGCAAAGTTTCTCAAGACACACGTCGATCAACTGAGTACTTGTGTCCCCGTGTCGGAGGATAACCAGCAGAAGTTGGCGGATTTGAAAAAGGCTTTGCGGGTTTTGCAGGGTGGGAATAACTTAGCGACGAGCTACCTAGAGCTACTTGACTCGGACTCGGAATCTTTTCACAAACTGTGCCACCTGTCAACTGGTCAAGAGTGTACTATCTCTGAAGTCACAGGTCAGCGGGAGCCACCTTTCACTTTCGAAATCATGAATCTTTTTTAGTTTTACGCATTGAGAGCTGGCCTGCTTTGAGATCCTTCCGTCTCAAACTCGGATCTTGAGTCTCGTAGGGTGTACGGATCTAGTGCTCAAGTGGACGGTGCAGTTGACTCAAGTGCCAACCTGTTTCCACACGAGGTGGGGTTTGCCTTGAGAACACATTGACTTACCTCGAAGCCATGGCCCGAGTCTTGAATGTTTTACTGGCTTGAACAATTCTTTCATCTACGAATAGGCTTGCGTGAAAGTGCATCCTGAATGCACTCTAACTGTTTCAAGATCATCAATCGCCTTTCTTTTAACGCTGTTAGGCGTTGGGGATGTTCAAGGACACACAGCCCTAGGGAGTATTTACATACTCTCATTTCGTCACCTTGGCTGTCTCCACGGTTTCTAAGTTGCTATGACTCAAGTTCAATGGGAATTTTCTGAACCCCTGGCTCTACTAGCTCTTGGCCAATCTTGTTCTTTCAATCCTAGGGTATTCGTTCTTTCACTCGGTTAGCATTAACTATTTGGTAAGATGCTTCATAGTGCAATAGATCACGTGTTGAAAGGGATCATCTCGTGCCAACTCCGCAGAGGAAAGAGAAATGCACGAACAAAGGTCATTCTGGGTCATATTTGCATTGGGGGAAGGGGGGGGGGGGGGGGACGGGCTCCTAGGATGCATCGCCTTTCTTTGTTGACGGTTGCTCAGATGGCACTTTGGCTTATCATTTATATTTCAACATCGTATCTGTGGGAAAGATCGAGGTTGAGGGGTTCCTTTAGAACTCTTAGACCCTGCAAATTACTTTAAAGAGCTTAGATGTGTTTCATATGATTCACTGGCTGCATGAATATAGATTGCCTCCGTGAAGCCACTCCCAGGAGTGTCGTTCATGTTGTAGTTCTTTGAGGATGTATAAAGCAGCGCGCTGTTCTCCAAAGAACGATTGACCTCTTAGGCAAATCAATACATGATGGGGTCGTTTCAGAAGAGTATCATCCTCGGTGTGTGCGGTCTCTGTTTGATTCAAGCAACTGCTGCGGTGTCCATAGCAGAATCCGAGGTTAGTTCCTACTTCTTTTTCCAACATCACTTTTCGACCATCTTCTAACCCAAGATAGCACAATACGATTCAAGACCAGGCTCAATACACCTACCCGTACACCTGTCTCTCCATTCTGGTTGGGGCCGGGGAGACATGTGATGATCTGGTTTCCAGATGTAGCATATCGGCAGCATCCTTCACTTCCTTAAACCCGACTACCGTCTGCACCTCGTTGTCTCACGGAAAACCCGTATGCTGTGGGCCAGGAGAAACACTATTTCCACCGGAAAGTGGTGCTTATTGCTATGTCTATACTATCCGGGATTGCGATACTTGTGCGAAGATTGCCAAGGGGTACAAGATTACGACGGCCGACGTCGAGACTTGGAATACCAATACCACCGCATGGTATGGATGCAACAAGCCGCAGCAGGGGGGCCAGGTTTGTCTCAGCAAGGGCGAGCCCCCAACGCCAGTCGCAATTGGTGGTGCGGTCTGTGGCCCCCAAGTGCCTGGAACGGCACGCCCGGTGTTATGGACCGATATTGCATCTTTGAATCCATGTCCTGCGGGTCAATGTGTAAGTTGTCTCGTGATTTGAGCTTAATTCAGCGATCAAGACTGACCATCTGTGTAGTGCTCTACAAAGGGTAAATGTGGCACTGGTGCGGACTTCTGTGATTCATCTGCACCCGCAGCTATCGCGCCACCAGTGTCTGCAACTAAAGTTGCACCCACAAGTAAGACTACGTCCGTGAAAAATCCATCCGTAACCGAAGCTACATCCGAGATATCCGAAACAAAAGGTGTGCCATTGTCAGCTAGAAGCTTTGTGACAATAACAGCTGAAGCCGTTACGGTGACAGTCAAAGCTGGATCCTCGACCCCTTCAGAAAATGCGGACTCACATGGTTTTACGACAGACATACCCTTAGTAGATGTACCCTTGACATATCTACACACAGAAGATATCAAGTCCGCACCCTCTGCCACTCACACCAACGCGGCTACTGGCGATGTTGCTGATTTCTTGAAACCGGCCGAAATGATCAGTGCTCTGGCGAGCCAACTTCGGACTATGTTGGTCTCTACAATTACCAGTACGACCAAGGCCCCGGCGACAGCAACACAAAAGGAGTCAAGTGAGACCAAACGCTCGCCTACACAAACCATAAATGGAGTCGTCACCGTGCCCAGCGGATGGTCATTGATGATGTTTGATGGCATCGGTTGCACTGGCAGCTACGTGCTGCTTCAAGGCCACAACAAGAAATTGGAGGATAGTGACTGTATGAAATTCCGCGCGGCGAGCAAGCTCGAAACAGTGGTCAACGACACGGCCGTTTCATGTCGTTGGTGGACTCTGCCAGACACCGGTAATTGGCAGTGGAGGAACTGTCACAGCAATTCTCTGAACAAACCCAAATCGTGGCTGATGTCGAACGGTCTGTGTACCGTCTCTCCGAATACGGAATGCGATCTTGTCAACGACAGATCCCAAACTTATGGCTGGCGGGGTCCTGGGTTGTGTCAAGATCGCCGGCCGATGGATCCGACATTTGGATCTATGAAGTGCTACGTTGGATAAGGTGGAAATAGATAGAATACGTATATCGGACTTTTCATCGCCAATCAGATACCTTAGGTCGCTTAGATTTTCTTTCCTACCTTAGAAACATGAGGATCAAATTTACCAAAAGAACTCATCAACCGGCTTGTAATTTAACACGGTCCTAATTTTTTTTTCCTTTCCGGTTTATCACAGACTCCCAGCTTTGTTTCAGAAAGTCTTGGTGTCCAAGTAAGACCGGAACTAGCAGACAAAATCGGCGACCTGGAATTCATCCATAGACTTTTGCTGCTCAGATTGCAGGCAAGGAAGAGGCACTCGACCTTGAGGGAAACGACCTGAACTACCCGACAACGGCGAAACAAAGCGCCATTCTCCAGGCCTCGTCTAGCGTAGCAATTGTGTTTTCGGGCTTTCTCCAGGGGGCGTAACCGGCGCGGTCGAACACCATGGTCACTCCAATCAGCCATGACATGGATAATTGGACTACCCGATTCAGTAAATTTGACTGATCTGAAATTGATCCTTGTTCGTCTTCGATGGATCCATCGATTATTCGCGATAAGAGCACACTGTCAATGCCCATGTCGGGGCGGGTCCGCTCGTTATTGCCCCATCGGGACTAACCTGCTCGTTATCATGGGCCGTTATGGCGTGAGAGGCTTTTCTGGATGATCGCGGATAGATCTTACGACTTCACATTTCGAAACAAAGATCTTATAGAGCACTGGTAGTCGTTATTTGTGTGATCTTTCGCCAAATCATGGAAGTCGAACGTGTGGCTGTTATTGGTGCAGGCCCTTGTGGCCTGGGAGTCGCAAAGTACGTTTGACCATCCCTCTTCGGACAGTGCGTGAAGGCATTGATTGAAAGTCTCCAGGTATCTTCTTGCGGAAAAAAAGTTCAAGACGATCATTATGTTTGAACAGCGGGACCGACCGGGAGGTGTTTGGAATTACACCAGCGACCACGGCATCAACGATGCATCGGTGCTTTCTCATTCTAAGCCAAGCCAGGAGCCTCAACAGTCCGTGGACGGGATTTTTATTTCCCCTGTATATGACTCTCTCGAAACGAATATTCCAAAATCAATGATGCAGTTCATCGAGACTCCGTTCCCTGCGAGAGCCGCGCTATTTCCAACCCATGTCGTCGTCAAAGACTATCTCCACCAATATGCGGAGGAGTTAAAACCACTTATACGTCTGCAATCATTGATTTTGGATGTCGTCCTATCGAAAAAACACCCAAATCCAGAATGGACTGTGACGTGGTGCGATTTGAAGACTGGCGATACCTTGGTGGAACAGTTCGATGCAGTTGTAGTCGCAAATGGACATCACAATGACCCATATATTCCTGAAATCGCCGGCCTAGCTGAGTGGAATCGAGCCTACCCAGGCTCCATCATACATTCTTCCTCCTATAGACGTCCCGAACCATTTTCAAACAAGGTATGTCACCCTCCGCCCCATCACGAATCTACATATTTAGACCAGCAATAGAAAGTTATTGTCGTCGGTCACTCCGCCTCGGGAATAGACATCGCCAATCAAATTGCTCGTGTGTCAAAACACCCGCTGCTGATTTCCGAACGGACAGCAACATCGCTCTCCCCAGAACAAGCCGCCGTTGCCGACACCCTTCCGGAAATCAGCCTCCTCAGTGCCGAAGATGGTCGCGTACTGTTTGTCAATGGTCACGAAGAACGAGAGGTCGATCACATAATCTTCTGCACAGGCTATCACTTCTCTATTCCATTCTTATCGTCTCTCCAGCCACCTCTTGTCACGGATGGTGTGCGCCCTCACCATTTGTACCAGCACATCTTCTACAGCAAAGAGCCCACCCTCGCTTTGATAGGCTTCCCGCAACGGATTGTTCCATTCCCTTTCAGTCAGGCGCAAGGCGCATGGCTCGCACGCGTTCTGTCGGGACGTGTAGCGCTACCTTCGGAGATTGAAATGGAGCGGTGGATCGGGGAGTGGGCGGTTGATCACGGCGATGGACATAGCTTCAATATCCTCGCATTCCCGCTTGATGCAAATTATATCAACACCCTGTACGAGTTGAGTTCACGTGCGGAGCGGAAGGAGGGGCTGGAAAATGGCGGCCATGGTAGAAGACCGCCTTTCTGGGGCGAGAAAGAAAAGTGGACGCGGGCGAGATTCCCATTGATCAAGAATGCGGCGCAGGCACTTGGTGATAGACGAACTGAGGTTACGACAGTAGAACAGCTTGGGTTTGATTTTGACCGGGAGATTGCTCCCAACGCCGAGGTTGGGAATCCGCGTCTGTAGATATCTTCGTATCACAGAGAGAGAATCAAGATGCTAATGAAATTTAATGATGAATATGACGTTTTTTTTTTCATTCCGGGCATTTCAGATCCTACATCTCCCAAAAATTCATCCACTGCGTTTCTAACAGGGTTTCACCCATGTCGTTCTCTGCTGGGGTCAAAGTGCCGTTGTGCGCAAGATTGAGCCGAGGACCCTGGATTCCAATTCCTAGCCCGGCACTCAAACTATCCATGGTAAACGTTTGATGAGAAACCCTTCGCTCCGCAAGATTTGACCTTAACGGCCAGAGATAAAAGCTTGCCTCGCCCATGGTTTGACTTAGCAATGCTTCCAGATCGTCTTGGATGGATTGTAGCCCTACTTCAGTATCTAAACCTGACGTGGCTATCACAGAAGACCCGGACAACTGGCTTCGTGCTACCAATGGGCTGTTTGGCTTCGTAGGGATATCTGCAAGGCGACGCAGAATTCGACACGCTTCATGAGCAGCTGCCCAGGAAGGTGGAAAGTATTCGAGCAAGGTTGCGAGAAGCGGAATCTCGGGGATATCGTCACAAGCCGGAGCCCATTGGCGACAACAATAGAGAAAAATTACAGCCAATGAAAGCAGGCGACAGAGTGTGATCCAGTTCATAGGCAGATGTCGGTGGTCATGCAGTATGAGACTCAGTCGAATGTACTGTTGCGCAGCACCCTGGAGATTTGACACGTTCTGTTCGGTTGCCGAGTCTCCTTGTGCAGGAGTGTACAACAAGAGAAGTAGGTTCTGGTAACGGACATTTAGCCAGGTGATGGTAGTATGAAAGGGAAGCTGGTCTGGTTCGAACAGTGTGGAGCTGGATAATAGACAGCCCTGGGTATACCAGTCTTCGATTTGGAGTCGGAGGTCTTGGGTACTGGTAGATGGGTTTGGATCATAGATAGCGTTGACAATGCGTGTCTCGAGTTGTCGCAGAGAAATCATATGTCGGCTAACCTGCAAGGCTATTGCGTATAGATGTCCTTCCTCCGAGCCGTATTCATGAATCATGATGCTCGGTAGTGGTACTTTCATTACATTGTCGGGAAAGGCAAAGGGCAGTCCATAGGATATGCTGATCATGCGAGTGAACACATAGACTGACCAACCAAGCCGGCGACGGAGCTCCAGCGCCCGAGGTGACAAGGCCTGGCAACTGGGAGGCTCATTCATCAATCCGACTGCTAGAGCATGGTTGGTGAGGACACCAGCAATGGCTCGCGGGTCTTGGCCACCAGGTTTGAATAAGAGATATAAGCCAAGAAGGAGTAATGTGCCTGCCGATTGTTCATCCACTCGAGACACACACTCACAGAGTACCGTCTTGAGACACGGCTGGAAATCTCGCTCCTCGATATTTTGCACTTCCCGAGCCCGCTGCAAGGTTGTGAAACCGATAGCCATTATCATGTAGAGGCGGTTCGGCAGAGCCGATTGGGAGAGAAGACCATTTTTGGCTTCATTATTGCAAAGGATGTCGAAATCTTGAAGAACATACTCGCTATCCATAAACGGGTATGTGCGATGAACGTGTCGAAAATAAGCCTGTAAGCACTTGCGACTTGCCGCAACGGAAAGAGACACATTCTCTACACCCTTGGAGGGGCAACTCTCTTCAACCCCACTCTCGCTGCACTCCATCTGCATGATCGCCCGAGCAGGTGGAGACTGGGCTGGACTGCCCAAGGCCATGTCCCGCCCAGTCTCGATTGACTCGATCGGCGATCTACCATCCGGAAGTACATCATTCACAAGCCGGCTCAGCCAGTCAATACGTGACCGCAATTCACGCTCACGCGTATACGGACTCGCAGAGTCCTCCTTCAAAGAGCAAGGCACCCAAGCAATCTGGCATTGCTCACAGGATCCGTCAGCAGTTCGGGAGCACCGCTTCTTTTGTTGGCGACAGCGGCGACATGCGGGCACAGAGGACCGTCGGCCATTAGCATTGGTGGGTCTTTCGTGTCGGGTTATTCTCTCCGGTTTGGAAGCATTTCGATGGACCCGGAATCGATGCACGGCGCCCTCCATGATTGTCAGATGGAAAGGGTCGTCGGAGAGATAGCGCGATAATCAACCAACGGAGCACGCCATCTCTCCCCCAAACTGGAATTATTCATCGGTTCCGCACCGCGTTGTATCTTCAAAAACACTCTTCAATTTTGTCGAAATGGCTTCTCACAATCGTATTTCTCACTCGAAAGAAATCTCATCGTGGTATCCGAAACCTAAGCGAAGGCTACTCCAATGCGATCCGATTTGACGGGCTCAACATCGCCAATTGAAGCCTGGCAACAAGGCGACGTCACCGGTATCTCTTGCGTATGCAGTATCTGGGATGGTTATGCCGTGAGATAACCAGCGTGGTACTATGGAAGATATGGGTCGAAGAGCACTCCAACCTCATCTTACAAGCGCATTCTTTTTGTGACATTTCCCCAAGCAGGGTGCGATGGAAAAACGACAGCTCTACTCTACCGGAAAACTACAGCCGGTGTCAAAGACCAAATTGATAACTTGCGCGTTTTTCGTGACCTGGACGTGCGCAATACAACTCAGCTACAACATGCTGAACAAATCTAGGATAGGGTAAGACGAGATCCGCGACTCGGGTCTCACTGGTTTCGGTGTATAAGTTGTTGATTTATCGCGCGTCGGACAGGAGACTAACGAAGACATGATCGAGCACGCGACTAAACTCCCTTCGGCTACATATTGCAGGGCGGTCATCGCAATCCTCTGCGCAGTATATCGAACCATGACCTATAGCTCATTCGTATGAAGGGTAAGCTTTTTGCAATTTGTCATTTTAGACCGTATATAGCCAAGGGCAATAAGCCGACTGTCGATAGTTACGTTGTTGCGATGGACTTTGGCATCGACTTGGTTGGCGAGGAGCTGGTCGGTGTGGGTTCAGATGCTATTGAAAGCCATGCTTGACCAAGTGATCTTATGATCCGGAGTAATCGCGGCAAGCTTCATGCGCATCAGCTCACGCCCTGGGGTAGTTAGACTGTTGTAAAGTCTCTGGGTCCGTTGAAGGAACGGCCGGAATTGGCCAATGCCATGGCTAGGGTAGGCTGGCCGAAATCAAAGATTGAGAAAGTGGCGGGGATGAACTGGCTTACTTACGTGGAGGTGATCTTTGGCGAGAAATTCATTGAAATCGTAGGGTTTCTATCATTTCCATTACTCCATTATACATGTGCCAGAGCCTTCTATTTCACAAATTCAGCAGAAGCACCCCATCCTCCTCCACCAGGACTATTTATTTGCATGATTTCCCCTGCTTGCAGGGTGAGAGCAGCCTTTCCACTCAGAGAGAGTCTCTCCAACGCTGTCTTTCCATCATTCCACTTGAATGCGTAGTTCTTTCCCACAGAGCCAGGTTGACCTCCGCTCATTCCATAGGGAGCAAAGACTCGTCTGTCACTGAGAATGCTGAATTTAAGCGGAATTCTAGCCTCAATCTCACGGACTGCACCGTTACCCCCTTTATACGTGCCAGCACCACCGGTATTGGGATTGATGGAGTGTCTGCGAATGATCACAGGAGTTCGCTTTTCAACGACCTCCGCATCTGTAATTTTGGTGTTTGTGGAGTGAGCCTGAACGGCATGTTCCCCGTTCCAGCTGGGACCGGCGCCGCAACCGCCTCCGACGGCTTCGCCATAATTCCATCCAGGTTCAACGATCCCAGTGGCGGGATCTCTACCTCCCATACCCCAGCCGAAGCTGTTCGCACAACCTGAGAATGCCGCGCAGCATTCGAATGCTCGCAAGATTGTATCGACAATGCGCTGGCTTGCCAGGGTACTACCACAAACCGCCACGGCAGCAGTGGGTCTTAGAATTGATCCTATGGGGATGCGGATGTCTATCGGCGATAGACAGCCATCATTTAGAGGAATATCGGCGTCGACCAGACATCTGATACTGTAGATGACGGCTGAATGGGTGATGGATATTGGGCAGTTGTAATTTCCCCATATTTGTGGCCCAGTTCCCGCGAAATCAAATACTGCTCCACCAGCTTCGTCGATTGAGATTGAAACTTTGAGAACGGTTCCATCGTCAAAATGATCGCTGGCCGTCAAGGGCATGGCCTTAGTTCGGGAAACCTTCTTGAGGTATTCCCTGACAGCCGTTTCCGAATTCATCTGGATGGCATTCATGTAACGGTGCACAAAGGGGAAACTGAACTCAGCACACATCTTCTGCAAAAGAAGTATACCACGCTGGTTGGCCGAGATTTGCGCTTTGATGTCGGAGATATTATCTTCCAATCGCCGAGTTGGACTGCAGCCAGGGAGATCACCCGCGGCCAAGAAAGCTTTTCGCACATCACTTTCAAGGAAGACACCGGCGTCGACTATTTTCATCGAGCGAACGTTGAAACCTTCCTGCCATAGCTCCTTGGAGTCTGGCATCATAGATGTGATTCCTTGGCCGCCAATGTCGGTATGGTGACCCCGAGCTGCCACATAGAAAGCAACGGTAGAGTCGTCGTCCACGAATACCGGGGTGATGATAGTCAGATCCGGCAGATGGGTTCCACCACACTCGGGGTGATTGCTGAGAAGGACGTCGCCGGCCTTTAATTTTCCTTCCCAAAGACGGTGCTGGTATTGGATTGCATATTGCATGCTTCCAAGATGAATGGGGATATGTGGGGCGTTGGCCACTAGCTTTCCCTCCCGTGAAAATATGGCACAAGAAAAGTCGAGGCGCTCTTTGATGCTGGTCGAAATAGATGTGCGCTGCAGTGTGTGCCCCATCTGTTCTGCAATTGCCATGAACCGGTGAGAAAGAATGGAAAGCTGGATCGGGTCGATAGTTCCAGAGATCTGAGGGGTTACAGCATTTGACATGCCAGTTTGTGACTTTTCGAGTACTAGATGATTAGGAAGGAGGTAGGCATCAAAAAGTGGCTCTACGAAGATCGTCTGCGTTGCGTCAATCAGCAGAGCAGGACCTTGCACCTGACAGCTACGCTTGAATGAACCAAGCTCAAAGATCGGAACGTTGTGCCACTTTTTATCGAAAAACACAGGCTGTGTTTGATCAGATTGCAGGTAGTCTTTTTGAGATTTGACTTGTTCCAGCATCGCGTATGGGGATATTGTCTCTGCGAGAATACAACTTCGCCCAACGCCACGGACCTTGATCGAGTCGATATGTATTTTCCTTTCGAGAACAAACGCAAATTCTCGAAGATGCGTTGCTACGAAAGAGGCTCCGTAATCCTCCCCCTCTGGTTTCGGGATGACAATGTTGGTGTCTGTGCCCGCGTATCTCAAACTGAGAGATTCTTCGAAGACAACAGTAGACGCATCCGCACCCTGTGATAATAGTGCAGATTCAACCTGAGACTTGAGCTTGCCAATCTGGGCTCGAACGACATCTAGCCCTTCGAAATTGAAGAACCCAACAAAAGGGACTGTGTTCTCAACCTGCAGGTCAGCCTGAGAAATGCCGACAGCTGATAGCAGTGAAGAATGCTTATGGATCAGAATCCGTGTGATACCGAGCTTGTTGGCAATTGAACAAGCATGCTGACCACCAGCCCCTCCAAAGCTGACCAAAGTATGGCTGCTTGGTGCGAACCCTCGTACTTCTGTGGCGTTGCGCATTGGCCGGGTCATGGTCTCGTTTGCGACATCAAGAAATCCGAACGCAACTTCTTCTGCGGTAAGCGCTTGTCTAGTTTGTTCATTAATTTCGCGAGTGATATCATGGAACTTTCGCTTGGTGATCTCAAGGTCCAGGTGTTGGTCTGCATTCGGACCAAAGATAGCGGGAAAAGAAGAGCGAACCAGTCTCCCCAGAAACAAATTCGCGTCTGTCACGGTGAGAGGTCCTCCCTTTCGATAGCAGGCAGGACCGGGGTGAGCTCCCGCGCTCTCGGGCCCAACAACAAACAGCCCATGACGAGCAAACAGCATGGAACCTCCACCAGCGGCAACAGTTGCGATGTTCAACATCGGCGCTGTAATTTTTCGACCCCCCACCGTCGTCTCGGTCAAATAATCATACTTGCCGTCATATCGACAAACATCTGTGCTAGTTCCGCCCATGTCGAATCCGAGAACAGGGGTCCCTTCGGCAGCATCAAAACAGGTTCGAGCAATTCCAACTACGCCGCCAGCTGGCCCGCTGAGAAGAGCTTCATTTCCACGGAACCTGTCAGCTTGCCGCAAGCCTCCGTCAGATCCCATAAACTCCACACGTTGAGGGAGTACACTAAACCCGGCCTGGAATGCCGTGACATAATCGTTGACGATTGGGTACAGATATGCTTCTGAAGAAGCCGAGCTGCTGCGTTGCAAAAATTTGATAACGGGGCTGACTTCGGAGGCTTTGATCACGGTTTCAAAGCCCATTTCCTGTGCGATCTGCGCTACCCGGTTCTCGTGGTCAGGATATAGATAGGAATGCAAGAAGGAAATCACCAAAGACTTGTAGCCTGCCGACCGCAGCCTGCGCAGTACTTCCCGAACCTCGACCGAATCAAGGGCCTTCAAGACCCTTATCACTTCCCCGCTTGGCGTTCGCACCAGTGCGGGATCTGTGATTTTCGCAGTCTTGTCCAGAGGAAATGGATTGAGGTCATAGTCTTCGACAGTGATGCGTTCATCAATTTCTACCGAAGTTGCATGGAGGGCAGGAGGCTTTCGGACGTTCAAGGCGAACAGTTTTGGTCGCGTCTGGTCATCAATAACACAGACATCTTTGAAGCCTTTGGTGGTGACAAATGCGAATTCTCGACCTTTGCCTTCCAGCAATGCATTCGTCGCGATTGTTGTTCCGATACGGCACGATGCTATCTGGGACCCGTCTAGCTGTTCACCAACGGGTATTTGTCGCCCTTCTATAAACTCTAGTGCTCTTCGGATTGCCTCCGTAGGGGCATCACGATAGTTCTGCGGATCTTCCGACAGCAACTTGAACACAAAGTCATCGCGACCGGGGACTTGCACCAGGACGTCGCAAAATGTGCCACCGCGATCTAGGCAAAGACTAAGTTTGGGTCTTTATAGATGGAATTGATGGCATAGTATCACAATCACGTACCGATAGAGATGTTGATGCCTGGATTGGTTGCCATGGCTAGTAGTGTGCGATGTATCAGCGACAGAACTCGGTAGCAAACATCAATGCGAATCGCTATGAAGACAACTGATATTCAGTACTTCCAAATAACATTAAAATCACGCATTATTCGGTCGCTGTGAGGTGATACGCCTCAATGTACGCCTCCAGTGGAAACCAGTCCCAAAGAGGAAACTCTTTTCGGAAGTTCGCCGAACGCTATCTCGATCTCCTTTGCCCCTGTTAAATTAGAAACAGAGCCGATGTAGGTATTCGTTTCGGAGGCTCACCGAGCATTATCTTGATTTTCCTCATTCACGCTAGATATACAAAAGCTTCCTATGAATGATGTATGATATCTGCTTGAGAAGCGTTCAACTCCGTGCGGTAAGGAAAAAGAGGATACTATCATTGTGCTTTGGGGGTTCTACAACACAGCATAATTTTTGAACATTGCAATTTGATATCTACTCTATAACAACCGTAAAGATTAAGGTAGTACAGCTGCACATCGACACATTCAGGGTAGAACGTACATCCTGATAGATCTCATCGGATATGTTCCTTAATGAGCTTTATCACTTCTGCGTTTTTCTCTAGATGAACGCCATGGTTGGCGTTCGCAATAACCCTCAGCTCCGCACCTGTAATCTTTGAGGCAATGCTTTTGGATTGCTCTGGCGGACAAATCCAATCGCGCTCACCCACGATCACCAAGGTCTTCGCAGTAATCGAATGAAGCCGATCTCTGTAATCGAAGAATTTTTCCTGTGCGGCATAGAGATCATCTTGAAGTGATCAGCTTGATTTCCCGTGACACAATCCGGATGACCACTCACTATGGGACTTTGCATAAAAAACGGTTTCAATGTTATGCTTCAACGCGATCTCAGGATCAAAGTTTTCGCTATATAGCGGTGCAGCTGCATACATGACAAGCCGGAACTCGAGATCACTTTCAAATCGACCAAATATCTTGTCTTTCAGAAATTTGATGGATAGACCTGGGGCTTTGGATGCTCTTTGTTCCAAAGTATGAATAGCCGTCTCTTCATCTATGCTCAGTCAGCACACAAATTGAAGTTTGAAAGGCGCGTTGGAAGTTCCAAGACATTAAATCCATGGCACATACGGTGATGCGACGGAGCAGTCCCGCGAAGAATCAAATGCGAGACGCAAGATGGATACGTAATTGCATACTGCTGAGCCAGGAATCCACCAAAACTGCCACCGCACACAATACAGGGCTTGTCGACTCCAAGGAAATGCTTCCGTAGTCCCTCAATGTCTTCGACTATTTGATGAAAGGTAAAAGGCTCGGTTCGTGAACTTTGACCATGTCCTCGAAAGTCGAAGGAAAGTACCCGGTACGAAGAGGATAGTGGCGAGTATGCTTTGAAATCTGATTTATGGTCTCCTGTTACGGTCGAAAGGCAAACTTCTCAGTGATCGTTTGAAATCAATCTCGCAGCGGTAGATGTGATGGAGACTCACCAAACCCTCGGCCGCCATGCAGAGTGATTATCAACGGTCCATTCTCAGGTCCGACTAAGCGGTATGCTAACTGAGCGCTATTGATAGAGACAAATTCAACCATTCTGTAGTGAAATAGGAAGATCTTTGAAAAAAAAAAACGAAGGAGGAAATCAAGTGGGATCAAAGGGAATGATCATTTCAGTGGCAAGATCAGATGTCAAGATGTATGTATCCTGTCCAGTTCAAGAAAATCTAATGCAAGGATAGACTGCACAGTCAAATTCCGCACACTAAATCCGTAACGGAGAGTAACATGTCGGAGCAAGCTCATATCGCAATGTTGGGATGTCGCGATGCCGCGATATCGGCCCCGCACCGAGAAAGGTTTCCGTATAAGGAAAGGCCCCGATGCGCAAGCTTTTATGTTCAAGGGACGAACCTACGCAACCGTTGCGATGAATGTCGTGATAACCGTGGTTGGGTCTCTTATTGATCGTTCTATATCGTGTGTAAGAGCCGCCATCTCATAAATAATTCGTCTTAACATGGAATCTGGCCAGATTTTCTTTGCAGAGCCCTATTTACAATGACCATCTTAGCCGAAACCGTGCAAAAGCCAACTCCAATTCAAAGGGGGTTGGAAAAAGTCTTTGATATACAACAAGACCGCAAAATAAACACCGCAGATTCATGTCACAGCGTGGAGAGGTCGACAGTTCAAACTGAGAACGCTCAGGAATCCCGCCAACGTTGGTTCCATTGGCATGAGCCAGGTACTTCAAAGGCCGACAAAAAGCTCATTTTCAAACTGGACTGGTTTCTTCTCAGCTACAGTTGTTTATGCTTTTTCATCAAGCAGCTGGATGGCAACAATGTATCCAATGCCTACGTCTCTGGCATGAAGGAAGAGCTTGGATTCGGACCAGGCAATGAGCTCAGTTGGATGAACACATACTTCAGTATTGGCGCAATCATTGGAGGTCCAATTTCCAACCTCGCTTTAACTGTTGTTCGACCGAGGTACTTACTGCCTGGGTGTTTGTTCGTCTGGTCGCTCTGCGTACTTTTCCTGTACAAGTGCAACCACGCATCTCAGCTCTACGGCCTTCGATTTTGTGTTGGGCTTTTTGAAGCCGCTGCGTGGCCCGGGATTCAGTACGTTCTGGGATGTTGGTATCGCAAATCCGAACTCGCTCGGCGAAGTGGTCTCTTCGTCATGTCTGGAGTCCTGGGACAGATGTTTTCAGGCTACTTGCAATCCGCACTGTTCAAAGGCATGGAGGGAAAAGCTGGCTTATCAGCATGGAGATGGCTCTTCATTTTTGATTTCATCCTTGCGATTCCAGTCGCCATATACGGTTTCATCTTCTACCCCGATACGCCTCAAAACACTACTGCATTCTATCTCTCCGAATGGGAAAGGAACCGGGCGCGCGAGAGAATCGACGAAGAGGGCCGAGCCCCCGTTGGAAAATTGGACAGCACCGTGTTCAAACGGGTCCTGCTCTCTTGGCAATTCTATACCTTCTCCGTCGCGTACGCCTTCTGGTCTCTCACCTGCGGGTCATATGTTATGCAGTACTTTGGGATTTGGCTCAAGTCACTGAAGACATACTCAGTGCCTCAAATTAACAACATTCCCACATCCATGGGCGCCATTAACTTTGCTTTCATGGTGGGCACGGGATATGTCTGCGACAAGATCGGCCGACGAGGACCTGTCTGTTTCGCAGTTGGCTGTCTCCTCACCTTCTGCTATGCTATATTCACGGCGTGGCCCGAATCTAGAGGGCTGAAGATGGCTGCGTTCATTATCACTGGTTGTTATGGATGTTATACACCCCTTCTAGCAGGTTGGGTTAACGCCTCATGCGGTGGAGATCAACAATTACGAGCATTTGTTCTGGCGTTCATGGTCAGCCTTGGATCAGCTGTCGTCATCCCATTCCAACAGCTGCAATTTCCTAGCGGAGAGGCGCCCAAATTCACCAAGACACACGGCTGGGTCAGTGGGCTGTGTTTTGTTTTAGCGCTGACTCTATGGACTGGGTTCGGAATCGGCACTGTGGAAAGAATTTTCACACGGAAACGCAAGGAGAGACTGCCCAATGATACTGATGTTTAGTTTTAGGATCAGCCATAGGGCATAGTTTGATGATCTGATCCTGATGGTCCGGCTAAAATAGACGATTGTATGTGCCACGCTAGCTTTTCTCCCAACATTTGTCTATTTTTAATACACGAATCTCTAGTGTGGAGTCTATGACACCAGATCCAGCTTAATTACAACATATGTATTTGTCGATTTGTCGATCTTTCAACTACTACTGTCCCGATACACTGGCTCGATTTGAGTGAACAGTCCTGACCGTGAAGTGCAGTAGACAACTCCAGCCTGTAGGAAAATTACTGGTCAAATCCTTCATCCATGAGCAGTAAGCTACATCGTAAAAAAAAACTGACAAGTCTGAATAACAATAAAAAGAGCCTTGTTGCCAACAAAAAGCCCTTGGATTTTACAGCCGAACGCTAATGCAAGGTCTTGAAGCCTCAACCCATAAAACTCCATCTTACATCGCATCTTTCTTTCCTTGTCTTTTTGTTTTCTCGTCTAAATCTCTTCTTTTATTTAATTCCTTTGATTACTTTCCCCAAAGATCAAAGTCATGGGTCGCCTCCACCATGCCGATCCCCCTGCGTCATCGTCGCATTCACTCCATTCTCTTGACGACGCGCCGCCTCCATACACAGATGATCCCGAACCCATTCTCGCCTCTATCCAACATGCCCAATCTATCCAACCTGTTCAGCCTCCCCCAAGCATCCGACCCCTCCGCCTGATCGACTCAGCCTACGTTCTCCCCGGTGGCAACGATGTCAAACCCCACGATAAGGTCTCTCTCACCCTCGAACCAACGCTCTCAACCGACTCCGATGAACTCTACGAGGCCATCCGCCGGCAGATAAAACTCCCGCCACGGCCACTACTCTACATTCACGGCACTCACACCGAGTCGAGCAATGACAACAAGAATGAAAAAAACAACACCTGCACAGACTTCAAATTCAAGCTGGACCTAGCCGAGACCATGCTGACCGGTTGGGAAGGCGGATCCATGGATGCAAACTGGAGGGAAACGGATATCCTCGCCGATGAGGATCTCACACCAGCATATCGGGGAGGAATCCTACGCTCGCGCACGTACAAGCCGCCCAAGTCGCGTGCTGCTATCAGTCTTGCCGAAGACAGCGATGCCCTCCTACCCCGAGATGATGCCTATGAGCAGGATAATGCCTCTCCAGAAGTGCAGAACCTGTGGATGTGGTGCCAACGGTTTTGTCGTGATCCGGCTTCTGTGAAATCGTACGCTCCGCCCCAACACGCACACGAACTCCACTACTAATCTCAATTGCAACCAATATACAGATTCACTTTGCATCGCGAGATAAAAGGCTTCGACTCCAACGCTATGCGCAACGTCCTCTCCTCTCACATCCGCGAACTCAACTACCGCGGCTCCATAAGCTTTGATCTCTTTATCGCCCAACGCTCCGTCACAATCTACTCTCCGCACTGGATCAACCGGCTCCGTGCGAACCGTTTCATCTGGTGGGCTGTCGTCCTTCTCCAGCTCTGGATCATTGCCTGGCCGGTTATTTTCTTCATGGAGAAGAGATACGAAGTCGTCCACACGCGCTGGAACGCCTCGCTTAGACCGGAGTCTGACTCTGCGCTGACCAAGTGCTATGCATTTGGTCGTGATGAGTCTTCCTTGGCGGAATACTGGGCTCCGGCTGTTAAGCAAGCGGCGTGGACTCGGCGGCAGGGTGAAGGTGATCTTTTGACGAGGATGGATGCGGATCGTTTGCAGGGATATAGTACACAACAGCTACTTGGTCTTCGCGGTGCTACTTCGGATACCGAGACAGAGCGCCGAGAGAGGGTTAATCGTGGTCAGGGTGGGTTTGTCGATAATGTAGTAGGTCTGGTGAGAGGGATCAGTGAAGCTGGGCAAGATTGGAGATTTTCTGCGGGATGGGGGGCTAACTCTTAGTCCGTGAGTTTGCTTGACTTGCTCTTGGTGGTATGTACAGGACAAGGTAATGATGCCTCTCCGAAACTACAGTTGTGCCTACTCAGACTGTCTTTGTAAAGTTCTCCAAGGCTAACGAGATGTCAGTTTCTCCCGCTAGAATTTTCCTTTCGCTCAATGAGATATTTTCTATGAACTCGACCTACCTAGTTGTGCCTATCGATCCACCTCCATGGGGTTCTACGAGAATGAACTTCGAGCTCAGGGGCCTTTTGTCGAATTTAATCCTAGTAGGGCTTCTGTCCAATTGATATTGAGTTGACCTCGGAAAGGTTCTACGTCCACCCAAATTTTCTGTTGGTTTCAAAAATCCGAGGTTGGCCCCTGAATTAAACGTGCGCCAGATTCTTTCAATGGTTTTTGGCGGATTCATTTTTTCATGCCATTGGGCCAAGTGACAATCGAAGGTTACTGACAGAGCCAGACCTAGTTAAGCATGCGATAATGCGATGGCACTCTTAAGATGATAGCCTCATATCCTGAATTCCTAGAGGATTGAAGTCGTTGTCAATAGGTAATTTCCAGACTTGACTTTAGGGGGGTCGAGTGCTTTCATCTCGAGTTCAATGTCATTGCTCCCAAGTTAAATTGAGGGCTTTGTTCGCAAGACGTAAGTTATCCTTGCCTCGGCCGTTCAGCTTCGAGGACTTTTACCTCGACGATCTTGGTTCCATTGTTGAATTGCTTGTTCAATTCCCGCATAGTCTCCAGATATAGTTGATTCCCCTTGTTTACCCAGTTTCTATAGAGATTCACTCCTTTGTCCGTTTCATCTAAACATAGACCGGATGCAAGCACTGACTCGATCATGAAATGGCTTCTCTCATGGGCCCTTTGGCCAGAACTATATAATCGCTGCTTGGTCCGGCACCTGGCTAAGCCAGTCAATCATCCCAAGTCCCGAATGAGCCGATCAGAACACCTCCAAGACTTTAGAAACCACCTCGAGTATTTTCATTTGATATTCTTAACACGATGTCTCAATCTCCATCTACCCCCCCCCGAAAGAGATTGATGAACTTCTTCCGTTCTGGTGACAACGATGGTGGAAGTAATACCAAAGCCCCTGCTGAAGCTTCCTCCACTTCCGGGGCCACAAAACGGAAACGTACAGCTGGCGAAGGTGACGACAGCGTTGATGAGAACAGACGCAACCCGATGGAAAAAAGACTCGAGAAAGCTCGAGCCACCTGAAGGTACAGGCAATCAAGGGCGCACATCGACGAATCCTAATCCGTATTCAGTGAATCCCGATCCAAAAACCCCCGAGCAAGATACCGGGGCAAATCTTCATGGGTTACCGACGAGTCGCAGGGGGTTTCAAGCAGAAATGGGTAGGGCTTCCGCGTATCTAAATTCAGGAAAGATTCACTTGTTACAGCCAACCCCTGAAAGGGCAACAATTGACCATTATCAAGCAACGGGTGCTCGGCTTGAAGGCTGGATGGCCAACACCAACCCAGCTGGGCCTGCCTGTCGAGTCGCCCCGTCCACGCTAACCATTGACGCTCTGGTCAGAGCGAATGCCCCCAATGAGCCCGCGTTCATAGTAATGGAGTCCAAAATTCGTTGTCCCACCGCCTGAAATCCATGCAGAGTCTTCAATCAATAAGCCTTCCACGGAATCCGACTTCGAAGGCTTACCGCCGTATCAGTCTACAACGGAACAAAAAATGGCGCCATGTGTCCTCTTACACGCATTGTATCGTAAATGATGCCATTATTGCTAACTCGATTTTCAGAAATGATGGCGGACCTCATTGGTCTGATGTTGCCCTAGCTGTATACAAACAGGATACCGCTATCCATACTCTCCGATGTGTCTTCATGTGTTCAGTTGAGAATGATGAGACACTGCCCTTGGTAGGCAAGGTACTCTACCGAAACTATCTTCTCCCGGGTCCGGAGAAGAGGGCTGCAATTCCAACAATTGACACTTGGAATCTGCACACCCCGGAGTTCCAGCAAATCCTAGGCACACAGCTCGGGAGGGCCGTGGCTCGTCTTGTTTTAGGGGCTTGGCCCGTAAAAGGTCCTCATCAGATCACTAGAATCCACACTTGGTTTGTGGCGGGCGCTCTACATATGCGATTTGATATTATGCCGATTGTTCAACAAGGTGCTCCTCCTTCTCATCCTCCTCCTTCTCCTTCCACCCCGTCTCCCGCTCCAAGAAAAGCTCCCGTCTATAAGGACGTCGTCTCATTCAAAAAAATCTTGATTGCGTTTGGTGGGTTTCAATCGGCCAAGTCGGTGGGTCTTGCTGATGAACTTCCTATCGACTGCTTGGCTACTTTGTTGATCATTTGGTTTGCCTCTTTCATTGAACTAGACGTTGCAGCAATTTGAAGTTGGATTGGGCTACCGAATTTGTACAGTTGATGTTTGGGCTACAAGGGTATTTGGTTCTTATACACGACACAACAGAGAGTATCAACCAACATCGTTCACGCAAAACATTCAATAGAACATGTATCTGGAAACTCGAAATTCCCAGGACCCAGAGCATATAGGCCATCCGTGGAGTGGAAAGAAATCCTGATTGTTATCTAGGATCACCATCTCATGCACCTTGTTCGATGCCAGTTGCTACATGTAACAGCGCATTGGCTTGGGTCGATGGGTAGCATGCTGACGTTGGGAGGTTTAGTCGCCCGATTTATCACACTGCTCCCAGGTGAGTGCCATTTTCTACTGCTTCATCACTACAGTGCGGATAAGGAATGTGAGAACGGTGGGAAGCGTTAGGGTCGCCGGGTTGATTTTGCTTGGGGAAATCCAGTATTGAGATCCGCTGTTGAAGTCGCGGAGAGAAGCGCTAGCCTAAGGAGTTTGAAGATTTGGGATACTGCCAGAGCGGTTCCCTTCTACGACAACGTGCTAGCTAAACATCACAATATATGAGGAGGTCGGCTCCGTTTCATTGAACACTAGACGTAGATACTAAGGACTGCTATACACCATCTAGAAAGCATCTCGCCATCCCCCAATTTCCAAAGCCCAAGCGACGATCATCACAGGGTAAAAGATGAAAGCCCGTCAAAAAAAAAGATACATGTCAGGGAGAATCGAATATGGTAGGAAGCCCCTTCATCAAGGGAGGAGCATTACAGAAGCATGAAGCTAGCGCCGAGGACAGTCGACAGGACAGTCACCAGGCCGACGGTAGCAGGAGCGAAGCTGAACTGGAAAGGCTTGAGACCAGCGGCAGCACCGGTGGAGCTGGAGCTGGAGCTGGAAGTAGTAGTGCTGGTCCCGGTGGCGGCAGCGACCTCACCAGAGCCCTGGGTGGCAGTGCCGGAGGACGCAGTGCCGGAGTTCTGGCTGCCCTTGCCGGCAAAGCCAACGCCCTTGCCGGCACCCTCAGTCAGGTACTTCTTGGCGGGGGCGGGCATAGCGGGGAGAGAGTCGGAGTCGACATCCCAGTTGGGCTTCTGCATCTTGGGGCAGCCGGAGGCACCGCCAGTGGAGTTGTAGCCGCCGTTACCAGTGGGGTTCTTGGTGCCCTCGAAGGCGGTCTTGAGAGCATCGTAATCCTTATTGGTGGTGACCGTGTTACCGCTGATCTCCACCAGACCATAGTTGTTGCCTGTCTCGGTGTACTCGTAGACAAGACCACCAGAGTAGACGGAAGTCATCTCAGTGGAGTAGAGGGCCTTGACCTCCTCGAACTTGCGGGTGTTGATGTTGCAGCCGTACTCGGAGAGGAAAAGGGGGAGTCCGTAGCCGGTGAAGTTCTTCACCTTCTGGTCCCAACCGGAGATGGTGAAGGAAGAGGGATCGCACCAGGAGTAGTCGTTGAAGGCGAAGAAATCACTGCGCTCGTCATCGGTACCGCAGTTCATATACTCGGCCATCTCGAGGCGGTTGGTGTCAACATCAGCGGCGGAGTATCCGACGGGGACCTGGCGGAGCTTGCGAGAGCGGAGGTAGGTCCGCATATCACGGGTGACAGCCTTGACGTACGGAGCGGCCTTGGAAGAGGGACCGTCGTTGATGACCTCATTACCGGAGAAGAAAGCCAGGGTGTTGTCGTACTTGGCGAACATCTCTAGGGTGGCGAAGATGTTCTGGAGGTAGACATCGTTGTAGGAAATCTCGGGATCGGCACGGTTGATGGAGTATTTGGGAGTGTTGACATCGAGGACGAGGTAGATGCCGGCATCAGCAAGGGCAGACATACACTCGTCGTGGTCCTGGGAGTTATCGACGGAGTAGACACGGATAGTGTTCAGGCCCAAGTTCTGGAAGTTCTTGATGTCACGCTTGCAACCATCGGCATCAGCGATCGGATCGGTGAGGTTGGAAGAACCACCGGGCTGGTAGTCGACACCGCGGATGTAGAAACGGTCCGTGCCCTTGAAGAAGGCGTTACCCTTGACAGTGATGGGGGTGATACTGCTGTCGCGGGCCTTCATGTTGGTTGCGGCACCAAGGACGGTTGAGGCGCCCAGGGTGATGGCCGTGGCCAAGGCTACAGAGGACTTCATAATGTAGGAATGGGTGAAAAAGAGCGATGGTAACGAGAGTAAAAAAAAATCAAGTTGATACGCTCCGGGGATTAAAAGAGAGTGAATGACCTGAGAAACGAAAGTGAAGTCTGAAGGAATGAAAGGAGAAAGAAAGGGATGAAAGGGTTATGACCTCCCCCTCCCCCCCAAGCGGCAAAGGGCTGTGCTACGCCAAGGTCCCGGCAGGGTACTCCGTATGTTGTACTATGTACATTGACTGCCTTGTCCCGATCAGCAAGGGTCATATTACTGTGGATTTTCTGTGGAGATGACCCTAAATTCAGGCGGTTTATTGGTTCACTCTGTCTCTTTTGTATCTCTCTGGTTCTGAGTTGGATGGTCCGGTTCTTGGGGTTCTCAGATCCTGCACTCGAATTGGAGAGCGATCCGACACCTGTCCACGTCGACGGCTTGTCATCCACACTCTTGTACAGTATCAGATTGATTCGGCCTCCATTCCTTCCCCCCGAGTGGACCTTGGCAAAAACACTACGGAGTACGGAGTACATCTGGACAAGCCGATCGCACTCAGGGGGATTTGAATATCCCGAGGATCTACGGGAAGATAGGGGGGAAAAACCAACGCAAGTTCTAGAACCCACTCCAAGGCCAAGGCCAGTTGATTCGCTCAAACCCTGTGTGCGCCAAACCCACACGTCCGATCTATACTTAGACCTGAGACACGCGATGGGACAATGTCTCCTCAAATTGACCTATTCCCTTTCATCTTGGTACAACGCCCTCGCCTGGGGATGTTGACAATGTCTGTTGTACATAGGTGAACGGAATTGGAGAAGATTACGGTCCTCAAATCAACATATCAACTAGAAAGAGGGCATCCCGTAGAGGTGGCCCCATAATTCAGAATGTCTCATTCGGTATTCTTGCCATTGTTGACGATAAACTCCACCCGCTAGACCCGACCTAAACCCCACAGTCACCCGCTCGGTTGCGGAATGAGTTTGAAGATTTGTCGAGAGCTGACCCTTGATGTAAGAGAATGGGACTGCGACCGCCATCGTTTCCCTGATTGTCGTGGCTGTCTGAGACTATGTCCACTGGACCTGAGGGTGTTGGGGGGGTATCCGGAGAACAACCGAATGTTCTCTCAGTCACACCGCCTTCTAGGGTTGTGCCCATCTCATCTTATGCGACTCGAGTGCAGCATCATCATCGTCGGATTCAGGTGTTCGGGAAAATATCAGGACCAGGTGAACAGTGAACGTAATCAGTCGCCTGGTGCACGCGTCATATCGCTCGCCGTTCCCACACGGTTGCCCCATACACGAGACAAATTCACGATACCCTATTGGCCACAACTACTGATCCTGGCTCCCACTTGAAACAATCTCCAGATTTGTTTACACCCCAAAAGCCACCAACCCAAACCAATGACTGACAAGCTCTACCCAGTACGACGCTTCGTCAATCTATTACCTGTTCCATGCAACCAATCCAATAACCCCAACAACCCTTACTGAAAATGGAACTTCACAAGCTCCTGCGCCCTAGCCTTGTAACAACAGAAATCATGGCCACTGTGCACCGTCGCTGTATGGACAAGCGTTGAAGCCAAACTACCCCAAATGTCACTAAATGGCCTCCCCAGCAACTGTGGCAGCCAATAGATGCTCAATCGGATGGACGAACTGCGCAGCCCGCACGATCGTCGCAATGAATCGTTGATGCTGCGTACGGACGCAGGTGTAGAGGCTGGGTATATGTAGGATTCTGTGGGTGTCGTAGAATGGATTTTCGCGCATCAATAGGCTGAGGAAGAAGACTGAGGAAGATGTCGTGGAGGATTCTCCACTGAGCCCCGTAGGAAGCTTTCGATCTGACATGGTGATTTCAAGCCAGCATGATGGGCTGCGGACAGCGGTGTCAGATGAAGTACCACAACCAGAAAGCAGCGCGCAATCTCGCAATGGGTTGGCTGCTTGGATGACAGATGGACTTTATAGCGCCGGGGGGAAAGATGGACATCTCACTTCGAGGAGCATGTAGCATTTTGATGGTAGGCAGAAGGTAAAGAGCGGGGCCAGCAGTGTACCCTCGAGCTCGATTTTCTGAGGCGAGTACGTTTGTCATGATGTGAGCCCAGGAGCCTGTGGCGGGGGTAAGAACCTGGTCCAAGGAGCTTGTTGGGAGGGCATCCACGGTGGTTTTCGCATGTTTAGGCTTTCTCGGAAATTTGGCAAGATCTGGGGTCTATTTTAAATTTAAAATCCGTGTTGTCCACGCCCTCGATCGATCTGCCTCGGTGAGTTCCCCAGACCTCCAGAGCTGCCCCCCCCCCCGCAGCGAGCATCGTTGCCAATGATCGTTCTGCGGCAATGTGTGAAAAGCTGAAAGCTCGGGTATCTGCATTGACTGCAATTTATAGTCGCTTACTGGACTAGCTGAAGGCACATGAGAAAGTTTCACCGCGAAGGAATACAAAAGAAAAGGAGACTGAAAGACGCCAAAAGATGGGAGAGAATATATCATGAAGCCGTGAGCGGGCTACGAGCAAGCTGATTGAGAAATGCACTGTAAAGTAGGCGATCAATCATTGAAGGGTTTCATGGAGTTCCATTCTCAGGATTCGAAATTCATCATCAAGGTAGCCCCTAATGGCACACACCAACAAAGGTTCCAAACAACCTAGAACACAGCCTGAATTCTCTTCGCCAACGCTAGAAGCTACCAAATACTTCACCATAGCCTTATCCTTTTCGAAATTCCTCGAGTCCACCATCAACCTCGTGTATCAACGAGTAGGATCGGCCGGATTGCAGTTGGATGCACTGTGCATTGCATGCAGCAGAGGGAATAGGCCGAATTCCAACATCGATTTTTGCTGCCTGCACTACCCTATCGTAAGCATTATGTTCTCGTTGGAGCAGATCCAGACACAGCTCTCCCCAACTCAAACATCTTCGATGTCTGCCATGGCATTCGCACCTGGTGCAAATCTCGAGGTGGCTAGGGAATCCGGTGCTCCGAAGGGTAGTTTTCGATATCGGTAGAACCGCGAAGGCACCGTTTGTATCCCGCCTAGACCGCTGCTTGGCTGTAGGCCACATTGGTACTTTTCACACTTGCTACTCTCACCGAGTCGATCGATGGTGGCATGGGTCCATGCGTACGACCTGGTGATCATGCGGGATATTAAGGGTAAGGTTGCTGGGATGGGGAGAAAGGGTAGGTTTAAACGAGAGGAAATCGAGTTGATTCTTTTTTTTTGGGATTCGGTGGTGTTGGGTTGCTGGGGTAGTGGCAGGGCCGGTCTAACGCCGTACGGCGTAGTTCCTACTCCAACGCACCTCGGTCCCGATGAATTGACACCTCAAGTTGACGTTCAGAGATCGAAAAAAAGGCTGCTCGCTTGATGAGTGATAAGGCAATACTACTACCTAATCCGAGCACCTGCCTATGTAGGTACGATGTACGTCGTCGGCCGCTTGTGAACAATATCCAACTGGTTACCTAGGGCCATTGGCCATGGCCCTGCAGAGGGTTCCATAAGAAATGCCGCTATCATTTCAAGATCGACTAGAACACCCCTCCCTCCCCCACCGCTCAAATACTGGACCGAGCACGGAGTTTGTACCACAAATCCCGAGTCTGTCTAGGTAGGTACAACGTGGATTTCGCCGATGAACTCCCTCCTGAGCAAGATAAACAGTTGGCTTGAAGCGTTGCCTCGCTAAGCTTTAGGGATGATCTGCCGCTAGTCCCGGAAACCCCCTAACACCCCATGTCATGCAGGGGAAAAAGTGCATTGCCACCAATGGAGTCAGGCGATGGAACTTTGACCCCGGTAGAGTGACAGCTCTCACACTTACAGGCATGGAATCTGCATAACCAAGTTTTATTCGGAGTTTACCAAGATGGGCTAATCTAAAATGCTCCGTCTACTTACAGATCATACAAGGGATGTTATCAGAGTGTATTGGCTCAATAGTTTGGTGGGGTGGCGAGTTAACATATAAACACTGTTCATAGACTGGACAGAGAGGGAACGGGGGAAATTTTGCGAACGACCGCAGATTGACACTTTTTTTTTTTCTTTCGGATTGACAGGATGGTTGGTTTTTATCAGTCTATCTTGGTCATTGCCTTGGGAGCTTGGGGTTCAGCAGCGGACTCCCTATTCAACATCAACATTGACGTTTCTCAGGCCGAGCGATTGTGTGAGGCTCACAATACTACTGTGCGGAAAGAATGGTTGGTAGCTCTTTTTTCATTTAGGTCCAATTGAGAACTGACATTCCATAGGGGAGAGTTGAAGAAAGCCGAGCGGATCGACTACATTGATGCGGTATTGTGTATGCAAGGGAAGCCTCAGCATCTTCCAAGAGAAGAGTACCCGGGAGTGCAGAACCGGCTCGACGATTTTGTGGCGTAGGCTTTCTATCGCTTCATTCTGGATGGGGAGAATGGAGTACTGACATACCCTACAGCACCCATATCAACTACACACTCAATGTTCACCTTAGTGGTCTGTTCCTCCCGTGGCACCGTCACTTCCTCTGGCTCTGGGAGTCAGCCTTGCGAGACGAGTGTGGTTACTCTGGAAGTCTCCCGTAAGTACCACACCTTTGTGTTCCGGCTCCCAACCCATAGTGACACGCACCAGGTACTGGAACTGGCCCTTATGGTCAGAGGACCTGAAGGCCAGCCCTCTCTTCGACTGCAGCGACAGCTCCCTCTCCGGCGACGGCGAACACAACCCAGGCGAACAAAGCATCTCCGGTGGCGCAGTCACCATACCACGTGGATCGGGCGGCGGCTGCGTGCGATGCGGACCCTTCAAAGACATGCAAATCCACATGGGACCCTTCGCCCGCAATCTCATCTCAATCGACAAGCTCCCCGCTCCAGGCTTCGACTACAACCCGCGCTGCCTCAATCGAAGTCTGAACAATTTCGTCAGCAGCAACTACGATAACGAAACCATTGTCGACCGACTCCTGGCCGCGACAAATATCTCCGATTTCCAAACAGTCATGGATTATTGGCCTGCACGGCCGGACGGAGTCCTGGGCGTGCACGGTGGCGGGCATTTCAGCCTCGGAGCCACGCTCCAAGACCTCTTCACGTCGCCACAAGACCCAGCCTTCATGCTGCACCATGGTATGATCGATCGATTATGGGGTATGTGGCAGGCCAAGGATGAGGATCATCGTCGGTTCGCACTCAATGGTACAAATAGACTCTCTAATCCGCCGTATGCGCCACTTGTCACCGTGGACATGGTCATGGAATTCGGTCTTCTTGATCGGGCCAGACCGGTCGGTGAAGTTATGGATCCGACTAAGCACCAATATTGTTATTCGTACAGCTGAACAACAATTAACTCCAGACGTCAGGAGTGACTGTGGAGGGTATGGGGTTATGTTATATTGTGATAATTAATGCCTGATATTAATGATATATAACTATAGGAGTTTCAGGGGAGCCCCTTTTCAAAATTACCAAATGGAGTAAAAAAGAAAACTAGAATGACACCATGACTCTGGCTTTGCTCCAAAGTTGCTATTGTTAGCCCTGAGACCAGACCAATAATAGGAGAGAATTGAACTCTGTAACTTTTTCAGGTTTCGTGGCACAGTGCCTTTTATACAGAATGCTTCATACATATTGTACACAAACATAGGCGATATGATTCCCAAATGGTCGACCTCGGCATATATCAAGCCTTCTTTTGGACCGATCAGAGACATTTAAGTGGTCGTAAAAAAATCAGCCACGCCGATGATTTTCGGGTTAATCTGTCGCTAGTGGGAAAAAATCAAGAAAGATCTTCAAAAAGAACGAAAAAAGAAAAATAAGCAAACCGTTGATAGAATTGCCACTCGAGAGGTCTTGGTTCCTTCCTCATCTCTAATTATCTTTTTGTTGTTCTTCCTCCCCTCTCTTCTCTCACTTAACTCTCCCACCTTGTCTGCCGATCTTCAACCTTCCATTATGCTGCGGATCAGCTTTCTTCAGTTGCTCTTTATGACACTGCTAGCTCTTTCTGCGGTCTTCGCAGAGGCAGCACCTGGGACCTTGAAAAGTGAGTCTCTCCAAGAAAGGCTTGCCGACATTGATGCCGCTCAGCTCCATGATGCTCTGCATGCTCTTTCCGCCAAATTCCGTCATGGAATCTTCCCCACTGACCTTCAAGCCGCCGAGGCTCTGCAAGCTGAAGAACCCACCATTGCCAACCTGATCAAGCTCGGCAAGCGCCAGGATAATGTGACTGCTAGCCCTGAGGCAACCTCGGCCTTGGTTCCTTCTGTGACCACGACCAACGCCGAATCAACCGCTGAGCCCGTTACCACCTCAGCTGCTGAGACCAGTCAGACCAGCGAGGCTACCTCGGAGTCTAGCACTGAGCTGACCACCAGCGCTCAGCCAACTGTCACTCCAGCTAGCTCTACCAGTGAGACCAGCACCAGTGCGACTAGCACCACTGAGACCAGCACCAGTGAGACCAGCACCAGTGAGACCAGCACCAGTGAGACCAGCACCAGTGAGACTAGCACCAGTGAGACTAGCACCGGCTCTGCCAGTCCTACCAGCTCTGTATCTGTCCCCACTGTGACCTCCACGGTCTCGACTCAGACCACTGATCAGCCGACCACTTCCACTACTGCGACCTCGAATGCCCAGACGACTCAAACTGAGACCACCAGTGTTCTTTCGACTCTGTCGACTGCCCGAAGCACTTCGTCCAGCTCGTCTAGTTCAACTACCAGCCAGCAGTCAACTACCTCTGCCCATACCACCGAGCACACCACTGAGCATACTACTGAGCACACCACTGAACACACCACTAAGCATACCACTGAGCACACCACTGAACACACCACTGAACACACCAGCCTGAGCACTTCTACCTTCAAGAGCACGACCACCATGCCCGATGGCAAGATGAGCACCATCACCTCTATCATAGTGATTACCCCAACGGCAACAGAGAAAGCCCCGGCTGCCACCACGGCTGGCAAGCCCGGTCTGCAGACCAATGCTGCCGCGCTGCCTACTGGTCTGGCCCGTGAGGTTTTTGCCATGGTCGGTGGCGCCGTCGTGGTCGCACTGGCTCTGTAATGGACGATTAGTTTTGCCGTATCGCCTGCTTGCATTTTAATATTTTTGAACGGCGTTTTTTTAGCACATCGCATTGGCTCTACATTTTCATGACATTTGTCATTGTACTATCTTTTCGCACGACCCGTGATGACCTACTCATGTCTCCCCTCATCTATTGGGCGTTCAATAGCTTTATCCGCCTCAATTGGCCTTTGGTTTCTCGCGTTTCAACAGCGGCCTCGAACATTTGCAGCGCGAAGCATACGCTAATATTTTCTATGAGTACTTTTAGTTCAAGTTTAATCTTCGCTGAAGATAATGCAAAATGGGTGCTCCATTATCAAATTCATTAGCTTATAGACAGTAAAGATTAGTTGGTTCGTAGATATAGTAGGTGCAAGGCAATCCGAGATGATCGGAATGTGCATGGCGGCATGTGTAGTCCGAATGTGTCAGTTGGTCCCGAGAAACCACGTCACCGTCTCGGGTTCCGAGGTTCCTCCCACCGCTGCTCCTCAGTCAAGTACCGCACAAGACTTTCATAACCAGCTATATCCCCCTTGCGCAGTAGAACCGATATCTCAACATTCAGGGGCGAATCCGGATTTGGATCCGTCAACAACTGCTGAATAGCCCGGAGTGTGGTCTCGAGATTCCCAGCCGGAGTCCAGTGCTCAGAGGTCAAGACCGAGAGACAAATCTTGCCCTCGTTGAAGTCGATGTTCGGGTGCAAGATCTTATTCGTGAAGATAATAGTCGGCGGCGCAAAAGGGTACTTTGGCGGGATTTCAATGCTGAGGTGCCAAAGCCCACCTGTTGTCACGTTAGATTGACTGACATAACCGCAGCTGGGTATTTTGGCCTTCGTGGATTTAGTGGCCTTACCCTCGTACGCTGATCCAGCCGGACCCTTCAGTACAGCTTCCCAGTGTAGTAGGTCCTCGTCATTGACGGGACGTAGGAAGAGGAATGTTTCATTCTCGACATTGTCATAAGCTCTTATCTCGTCTCCGAGCCGCTTCATTGCTCTAGCGAGCTCTTTTCGAGATGCCATTAGGAAGGTAGTAGACTGTGTGTTAGATGTGTGGTTCGCCCCCCTCACGGAATTGGGAAAGTCGGTCGGCACTGCGATCGCCGAGGGGAAGTTCCACCCAACCCACCCATGGATTGATCATCCGACCATTCTCACGTGAAACAGCTCTCTCGCCTAACAGTTTTCTGTCTTCGGCTTAATCTCTGTTAATTCGCTATGCGCACTTCTCGCACTTCCAGAGACACCGCGAAGGTGGTGCAGGCTCTCTCACCCCCTATCCGGCGACAAACGCGCAACTCTAACTTGAGCGATTTGAAAAGCTTCGTCTACAACCCAAAGGCGACTCCAAACATCACGATAGAGCCAGAAAATGTCTCGGTGACACTCAGTCTGTCTGCCATCAAAAGTGACGATGAATCATCTTTCTCCGACCTCTCTGAAGCAGACACGGCGGATATCGAAGACCTCCTTGCACCGCCATCGAAACGCCAAAAGCGCAACGCGAGCCCCATAAACCGACGAGCCCCTCGCGTACCCCGAAAAGCCATAGTCAAAAAGGAGCCCGACCAGAAACCAACCCCAGCACCTAAACAAAGACGACTCCCGGCCCGAACAACCCGCGGCATCGACGGCTCGGTCAAGGTCGAGCCCCCTTCCAACTGGGAGACGATGTACGAGATCGTAAAAAAGATGAGGGCAGCCAACCCGACCGCCCCGGTAGATACAATGGGCTGTGCAGAGCTATACTGGCGCGCCTCATCACCAATAGATCGCCGATTCCAGACTCTTATCGCATTGATGCTTTCATCCCAGACGAAAGACACAGTCACAGCAGTAGCGATGCAACGCCTTCACACCGAGCTCGGGGATGCTACCCCTCCAGCTCAAGATATCACAATCAAACAAGAGGACGACGATTCAAACCCCACCGACAGCACCCTCAACTTGTCCAACATCCTCGCCGTGGACCCAACGCGATTAAACGAACTAATTCGAACAGTCGGCTTCCACAACAACAAAACAAAATACATCAAAGCCGCGGCGCTGATCCTACGAGACCAGCACAACGGGGATATCCCCTCGACTCCAGAAGGCCTCATGGCGCTTCCCGGTGTCGGACCCAAAATGGCCTACCTCTGTTTGAGCGCGGCGTGGGGTAAACACTTGGGGATCGGGGTTGATGTGCACGTTCATCGCATTACCAACCTCTGGGGTTGGAATAAAACCAAAACGCCCGAGGAGACGAGGAAGGCGCTTCAATCGTGGTTGCCGGTTGAAAAATGGCATGAGATTAATAAGTTGCTTGTTGGGCTTGGACAGACAGTTTGTTTGCCTGTCAAGCGTCGCTGCGGAGATTGTGATCTGGCTGGCTTACAACTTTGTAAGAGTGAGATTAGGGGACTGGAGCCGACGATGCTGAAGGTCAAGAAAAGTCCTGAGATTGATGAGCCCAAGGTTAAGATTGAGGCTCTTTGATTGAGACTTGGCTGCTTTGAATTACTCGTTCTCTTTATGTTTTCCATCCTTTTCTGGACTGGAAAATGTGGCACAGACTTGTTCGCTTGATACATTTCCTTAATGAAGGTCTGATGTGATCATGCTTCGTCGAAGAAACGCCAGCCTCTGAAACTGTGGCTTTGTGGCATGATATATGGATCAAACGCCGCTAATATTTCTTTGATGCGACCTCCCAATATTCTTTTGGGGGGGGGAGATGTGCCCGCTTGACTAGCCATGCTGTATTCCTAAATCATTATTGGTGCCGTTGACTTCCAAGCCTAATTCTCGGTGTTTCACCTTCCCCATCACAGGTCACGATGGCCAAAAGACGAATGAGATCTGTTCGTCAACCAACCTCCGAGTTTAGGACGAGTTTAAGTAAGGACTCAATCTCGTCATCTTGGACTCGAAGAGCAAAAGGGTCTGTTGCCACACATGTAAGTGGTTTACCCTCCTCACCCGTCGATGTAGGCTTTCGTGAATGGCATTCTGTTTTCGCACGCTCAGCCGGCTGGACCGTCGCGAACAACTCCCAGCAAATATGACGATATTTTTTTTTCCCGTCCGACATAGGGACATTCAGACATTCCACACAACCCCGTCAGGAACTGAGAGCTCTGATCAAACAACAATATTGTTTTGGACAGTAATGACCCGGATATTGAGAATTTATCCTGCGATCCTGAACGTTCATACCTATTCATGTGCTTAATGGAATCAATCAACGGAGAGCTTCAGCGGCATTGTTACTCGCACAGACCTGCTTCCCTTAGGAACGCTTCCAGTCAAAGATCGACTACAAATCTTGTCGTATACAGCTGTTGATGATTTCCTACCATCTCTCGTTTCTATGCGCGTCAACATAGATGGATCCTATGCAGGTTCATCCGTGTCTATTTGCATCGAGGAGTTGAGAGTTTAAAGAGAGAGGTGCACTGTGTTGAGAAATAGTGGCCATCTTTAGCGGAAGCCACATCGCAGATTCTATCCATATTTCTTTTAACCACACTATTCCCTTCCCTCGTTGCACTTAAATTACATGAGCTTCACTCTATGTGCCTCGAGATTGATGTTGAACTGTCAATTTTTACAACTTTTTGCGCCTGTCGTTCCAAACCCTCGAATAGTGAAGGTACTTAGATTGCTATATCACAACCCAACGGTGTTTGATCTTTGCATTCGAACTCACATCAAAAGACCGTTCAGTGGCGGTTGCAACGCTCTAAATGACCTATGAGATCGGCTGGCTCATCGTTTGGGAGGGTCAAGAATAACACTCGACCCGTTAAGCAACCAACTGCCACCGTTGTCGTCGCATGTGTAACGAATGGAGGCCTGAAGTGTGTCCGATTCTCCAAAGGAATTCATCGAAGATTGATTCTTCTCCTGGTTATCCAGGTGTGGTCTTTACTGAAGTTATCGACTCCTTGCTCTGGCTGAGGCGCCAAATTCTTAGAGGAAGACCGGATAGGGGTAGTCGATTTCAGATCAAATACACCGCGATTGATATGCAGGTAATGCACATTTGCCTCATCAAAGCGGATGTCAAGAGGAGATCCGACACCAGGAGTTGACGCATACTTTCCCATGGCCAGATCCCAAACTTTGACCGTCTTGATATTTGACCCTATGGACAGGCAATGTCCATCCCAGACCACGCAATCGAGAATCCCGAATCACTATACCCCTTTAGACTCATATCCTGGCCAGTGGCTGGGTTTCCAATCATGACTCCCCCTATCAAGTGATCCTGACGCGAGCCGACTTCCATCCCGAGACCATGCAATCTCGTAGACTGGCTCGGCATGCCTCTTCAAGGCCGATTTTCTCTGTCGAGGCGCCGAATTCCACATCGCAATCCTTTAATCCCGTGACGCTGGTGCTATCTGGCTTCCATCCGGGGACCAGGAACTGGACGTGACTGCCCCGCTATGTCCTTCTAGAGTCGATGTGCACTGTTCGCTGTCTGAGTTCCAGATCATGACGACCCCGTCATTTGATCTTGGTACGATCCACTTTGCATCCCGGGACCAAGAAATCGCCAAGACCAGGCTGTCAGGTCCTTCGAGGGTCGTTGTGCATCGTGAAGTGGCCGGGTTCCAGATCTTCATTGTCTTATCATTTGATCCCGGTGTGGGTCAACTTCTGTTGTGACACCAAGCAGTGGAGAGAATAACAACTCTGTCTGTGCCCTATACGTGTTGATGTACACAACGCGCATTTGATATATCCCAGATCTGGAATGTCAGATCACCTGACCTTGATGCGAGCCAGATCTTGTCCGAAGAAAAGGTGATGCTGTAGACTGAGCTGGGCCCTTAAACAATCAATGTGCAATGCCCAGTTTCTAGGTCCCAGATCCTGATTGGATCACCATTCATCCCTCAGACGAGCTGGTTCCTGTCACCCAAGACTTTGGTCCCATCTATAAAGTGGGAGACCGAGAGGTGTTCCGGCCAAACGGGTTCGTTTGCAATGTAAGATGTAACGTTATTGTGCCGTGTTTCTTGCACATGCAAAACGGTCTCGTGGTGATGTGTTTGGAAGATGTGCATGATCAAGCCAAGCATACAAAAAAGACCTCTTCTGTGTCACAATCATAATGGGGTGTAGTACAGAGCCACCTAAAATACCACACTTCCTTGAGTATCACATTGGGCGAGCTGAAAAAGATGTTGCCGCTAGGAATGTGTCACTGCATGGGCGCTTGCTGCTCGAGCCAACATAAAATGGGATCCTCAGTAATGAAACACTATGTGTCCAGCTGGTCATATTTGTCCAATCAGTATTTCTATACAATATCGCATGTGAAAACCACAGTATCGAGCACAGATCTATCCATGGTTTTACCGGAAGGATGTGGATATCATGGGGCGATGGTCGACTTCTACTTTGTCTATTTAGTGTAAGTGAAACTTCGTAATTAGACTGCTGAATTTCTAGTTATCGTTCTAGGTATATCTGGGGGTTGCTATATGTGTGACACTATGCGAACTATGTATGAGTGCTCAGCATAGGTGACCCATGTATCGCTATTTTTTTACAACCTATCCATTTCCTGAATTGTTAAAGTTGCATGGGAAAAGATCAAAGATAATTATTTGGACTTTAATAGGATTTGAAGGTGCCGGTATCGTCCGTCGAGTCACGGACCTTGTTCTCACTTGTGTCCACCGCCAGAGTTGGACTTATATATCCCTCTTTACCGTGAAGGATATACTCGGAAACACCCAGCTACACGTCAGGCCTGCCATTGGCGATGTGATAGTCGCTTCATCAACTTGAAACACTTCGGGCATGATCAGTCTTAGCTGATGCCAGAGACGCCCGCATGGGTATGGACATTTGTAGATAGGGTCGTATCGGGGAATACCCAGATTGGCTCGATTTAACCACTAGATCAGATCTGACACATTCTGTTAACCGCGCGCCCCCTTAAATTTCGTTATCTCTCTTGTGCTAGATTTAGACCAATTTTCGATTTGGGGAGATGCTCTAGGCCCTAGACAACAACCAAGTGGTAAAGCAGCCTGGACCTTTTCCACATCATGCAATAAAGAACGAATCCCTATTCCGTTAAAGAATAAAGGACCAACAGGACGAAAAACGCTATACTCCATACTCTATACTGATATTAACACCAAGTAAAATATAAGATGATGCCTTTGGATGCCCTGATATCCCGTCAACCAATAACAACCCGATCTCGGAAATAAGCAAACGAAGCTTCTTTATCCCCGGCCCGGTCCCCGAACCAAGTCTAACAACCCGTGCCAGATGTCATTGGCACCAACCAAGGCACCTCTACGGGAGCACCTATTTTATCTTCGATCTCACCACCTCCACAAAACCAGGGTGACTGAACAAATGACCCCTCCAACCCCAATCCCAATCCCCCGCTTCGCCACAACCCAACTCGCCCTCCTCCACGAAGAACACGCCGCCGAAGTCTCCTCCTCAAAACTCGCCAGCACAGCTGCAACAGTCTCGCCATCAACCCGCCGAACTCTCCAAGCAACTGGCTATGCCCTAACAGGCCTGATCCTCTCACAATGCCGAACCGGTCTCGGCGGGCGCGTCGTCGGCGAGTTCGCCCCGGACCCAGCAGTTGCGTCAGAAGAGTCCCGGTCCGCGGATGGAACGCCTCGACTTGGGTCGCATGGGATTCGCGTCGGGGATGTTGTAAGGGTTAGTGATATTGCGGGGTCAGGGAAGAGGGCCGGCGGAAAGGACAAAGATAGAGAGAGAGAGAAAGATACGGAGAAGGGGGTTGAGGGCGTTGTCACGCGTACTGGTGATCGCGCTGTGTGGATTGCGTTTGGGCGGCAGGGTGGTGGGGGGATGTCCAAGGAGGAGGATGAGGCTGTGGAGGAGCTTTGGGGGAAGAAGGTGTGGGCTATGAAGCTAGCTAATGATGTTACGTATAGGAGGTGTGTTGGTTGGGTTGATTGGAATTAGGATCGCTGGGTTGCTGACTTCGGCCTAGGATGAGGCAAACTATGGAGAAGATGGTCAAGATGACGGAGACAGAATACTCGCATTTCATGCGTGTTGCGTTTGGGCATACGACACCGCTACAGCTGGATTCGGAGGCGTGTGGACCTGTGGAATTTACCGATCCCACGCTCAATGATTCGCAGAAAGATGCTATTCGGTTTGCGCTGGCGGCGCGGGACATTGCTTTGATTCACGGTCCGCCGGGGACGGGAAAGACACATACGCTTATTGAACTGATTTTGCAATTGGTTCGGCGGAAAAAGCGCGTTCTAGTGTGTGGCCCGTCGAATGTTTCTGTTGATAATATCGTGGAACGTCTGGCTCCCAAGAAGGTTCCTGTTGTGCGTATTGGTCATCCGGCTCGTCTGCTGCCTTCCGTTCTTGAGCATTCTCTTGAAGTCCTTACGCAGACCTCTGATGCTGGGGGAATCGTGAAGGACATTCGCAAAGAGATTGATGAGAAACAGGCAAGTATCCGCAAGACCCGGTCTGGTCGCGAACGACGAGGTATTTACGATGATTTGAAGTTACTTCGGAAGGAGTTCCGACAGCGGGAGTCCAAATGCGTGGACAACCTGGTGCGCGAGAGTAGCGTGGTGCTGGCTACCCTTCACGGTGCTGGAGGTCATCAACTCAAGAACCAGAAATTTGATGTCGTTATTATTGATGAGGCGAGTCAAGCTCTTGAAGCGCAATGCTGGATTTCTCTTCTGGGTGCAGAGAAGGTGGTTCTTGCTGGTGACCATCTGCAATTACCACCGACCGTTAAATCCACTGGACAGAAGCCTAAGGAAAATAATTCCAAAGGCACCGAGGACAAGACGGACACCAATACCGATATGGAGATATTGAAGGGTGTTTCTCTCGAACGCACATTGTTCGACCGTTTATTAGCCCTGCATGGACCGGGGATCAAACGCATGTTGACCACTCAATATCGCATGCATGAGAAGATTATGCGATTCCCCTCAGACGAACTCTACGAGGGCAAGCTGATCGCCAGCGATGCAGTCAAAGACCGTCTACTAATCGACCTACCCTACGACGTAGAGGGCACAGACGACACGCAGGAACCCCTGGTATTCTGGGACACGCAAGGTGGAGATTTCCCCGAAAAGGCAGAAGATGAAATAAGTAAAAAAGGAGTCTTGCTTGGAGATAGCAAAAGCAACGAGATGGAAGCCATGGTGGTCGCCAGACACGTGGACAATTTGATTAATGCGGGCGTCAGACCCGAGAGCGTTGCCGTTATCACCCCCTACAACGGACAATTGGCTCTACTGTCGCGCATACTACGAGAGAAGTACCCCGGTCTTGAACTTGGCAGCGTGGATGGATTCCAGGGCCGCGAGAAAGAAGCCGTCGTGGTGAGCCTGGTGCGCAGCAATGCGGAACGAGAAGTGGGTTTCCTGGGCGAGAAGCGACGATTAAATGGTATGCTTCCCCCCTCCTTCCCTATTTTTTCCCTGGCAGTATGTGCCGGTGCTCTACCTGCAGCAATTTCAACATGTCACTAACTCTGCTGCACGTAGTGGCCATGACGCGGCCCAAGCGGCATTTGTGTATCTGCGGAGATTCGGAGACGATCAGTCAGTAAGTGCGGGATAAGCTACTGAGGTCGAGGAAGTTCGATAGTGTAATGCTGATCGACATTCTTTATTATTTTTCACAGCGGGAGTAGCTTCTTGAAGCACTGGATGGCCTTCCTCGAAGAACATGCCGACCTACGATACCCTGATGCTGGAGATTTATTATAGCCATCGGGACTTTTCGGCGCAGATCGAGAACCCCCATTTGCAAGTTCCAGAACAATGTCGATCTCTGTACGGAGCACGGAGTACTCCGTGGGAACGGCATCGATTTCCAAGTTTAAATTTAGCCCGGATGCACGGCCTATGTAAGGGATGAGCAGGGGGTCGACCCAACTTAAACAACTCAAATACTTTCCCCCCGAAATCCATTTGGGAGAGGAAGAAACGGTATTTTGAAACGTCCAGTTAGACGATTATTTCTGCAATGTGGCGTCGGAGATGCATTTCCCAAAACAGGATAGGGCGGTTGATTCTTCCAATCTATGACCGAGGGCCACGATTGAGAGGGGCTCTCACATTAAACAAAACACCTACGTGGGCTAATGGATTCTTTGAAGTTGAAACTATTCAAACTGTGTCGTGTCACTTGGTCAGTCCGTGCGAATAATAGCATTTCCCATTTGTTTCCGAGCATTCTACTTTTTGAGGGGGGGGGGTGTATTTTGAGATGCTCCTGAGAGTCTATAAAAGTAAAGACACGATTGCAAATCTTTTAATTACTCCTAATTCCACTTTTCCTCTTTGGCTCTTTACAAGCTGTGGCGTGCAGAACTCCCCGGTGTGGGGACAATAGCTTCTCTGTGTCTCTCCCTAATCTCTAACTTCTCCCCTTTGTTTCTCCTCTCTCAGCCTTCGTCTTTTTATCACTGTCTCTTTGTTTCTTATGAGATTAGCAAACGGGGAGAACCGTGATCATTATGTTCCTGATCATATCCGACACTGTAAGTTCCGTTTGTCTCACTTTGGGTCTTCAGCTAACATGCGTTTGATAGCTTTCCATAGTCTCAATCGACTAATTCCGGCCTTTATTCAAATTCGTTGATACCCTGATACCCTTCGATACATATTTTCCCGACATTCGCTTGAAATCTTTCCTTTTTCTATTCTTTTGCGCCATATACCCATATCGCTTGTAATGATCAGAATCGACATCTTACCCGTACCTTCTATGCCCACCGGTTGTCGAACCCTCCGTACCCCGTCGCCATGTCGAGACGCCCCGCGCGATCCATAACGAGCGCCGGCAGCGAGTCCATTCGGAGTATCCCCCAACGATCGTCTCCCCGAGGAGAGCGCTCCGGCTCGAACCCTGCATCTTACCTTGGAGACAATGATGATACCGCACTGCCGTCAATGGAATTCCAATCCCAACCCTCCATTGCCCATCGCCGAACGGGGAGTACCTTGAAAACGGTCATGCGCAAGATCTTCAACCGCAAAAGGCAAAGTCAGCCTGATGAACTGGAAGAGAGCCCATATGAATCTGCCTTTGTGATACCACCGATGCGGAGAGCCGGACCACTGAAAGGAAGATCATTCCTGACTGGTCCGCCTCCTCTGGACTTGAACTCACACCGGAGCAGTCCACTCTCGGCGGAGAACCTCCAGCTGGCGGAAACACATCTGTCTCCGCTTCTGTCTCCATTCTCTTCTGCCACCCTGCGGGATTCAATGCCGGGTAGCATACAACCGCGTCGAAGACGTGCAACGCTTCCCAGCGTGATTTTTTCAGACGATGAATCTCGATTTGCCGTGGCGTCAATAGCAGTATCCGATCCGCAAGAGGAGAGGGGTCATTTCTCAGAGCGAAGGCATAGCTTACTCTCTGATCGCCTATCAAGGAATACAGATGTACTGCGCGAAATGACAGATGACATGCCAGAGGTCATGGCCTCTTGGCCACAACGCACATCAACCGCCCCTTGGCCAGCCTCGGTTCTTGGCACGCGTTCCCCGCCATTAGATGGAAGCTCTGATAGTGGGCAGTCGAGGAGGCCCTCGTCGGGAACAACAGTAACGAGTGTGACCCGAATGTCCGCCGCACCATCGTTGATGGAGGTCGACCAGCATACAGAACAACCCAGTCTCCCGTCAAACGTCGCAAGTCTAATTAACTCAATGCAGCAAGATGACAGTGTCACCCTAGAACAGCGGTTGACAACGCTAGAAGTGAAACTGATTGACTTGGAATTCGCCATTGCGCGAATGCAAACCAACTGCCCCGAACCCCCGACTGAAAAACTATCCCGCCCGCGCCATCCCCCTTCAGCAGACTTCTTCCCCCCTCACATGCGCAACAAACCCGCCGCATTCCGATCCTGTGACCGCGATGTTTCCTCAAGCCCCCTCCCAAACATCACCACCCGTCCCTCCAGCACGAGCACGATCCGCGCAGACACAATGACCCCGCGCACCCTCCGCCCCGCCCCCTCGGCCACCTCCCTGTCCGACTACCACGGTGTCTCAATCGAGCAATACAGCGCGCTAGTCACGCTCCTGCGTCGCGAACAAACAGCCCGCAGAAACTTGGAGACACAAGTCGGCGGTCTGCGCGATGACATTCGCGACCTGCAGCGCGCAGCTCTTGAGTCCATGCAGCCCATGCAGTCCACGGAGTCGCAGCAGTTCATGCGCTTCCGTCGCGCGTTAGATGACTCTGACACCTCTCCAGTGCCGAGGTCGGATGATAAGCACACCGACATTGAGGACACCGACTCCGATTGGGATCGGTCGGATAGCTATTCTCGTGATGATCCATTCGGTTCTCCGAAGTGGGAGCGTCCGCGGGTTGTGACCACTCCTATGATTTGATTTTGTGATGCAAAACATGCAACTTTTCCCCCAACCTTTCCCCCAACTTTCTTTTCTTTGCATTTTAGGCTGCCTAGATGCGTACGATGTACTTCAGGCTCGTCAGTTCTTTTGCACATGTCCATGTGCCATTTCGGGACCCGGGGGGGGGGGGGGGGGTATCCCAGCAACAGGATCGTGACTCCTCCGACTAAGGTCACCGCGCTGAGCTACATGTCGAGTACATTTCATGTCCCCTCTCTCGTCTCATGGAATGGGATAGACACGGCATACTAGAGTTGCACACGCAAACGCACGATTTGTGACGATTGGCGCTATCTCATGCCTTTCCAGGTTTTATGTCAATAGATACTTTTCTCCATTCAAGACCATCCCTGTAGACAGCGTCCATGCCAATACATCCCCTACCATTTAAACCCCCTCATCTATGCTGTGCACTTCTTGGCAAACTACACGCACTGCGTTAACATTGCAGGTCAAACACTACAGCCGGATGCGAGATGGCCCACTTCTCTGGCGTCTGTCCAATCCATCTTCTACATTCCAAAAGTCCCTCGTGTTCGAGTCCCCCGTGTTCGAAAAGCTGTGCCCCTTTATCTGACTCCCCGACGTCGGACATACAGTCATTGTCGTACTAATCGCCGGGGCTACATACCACTACATCCGCCCATGTGGCTGCATAGTATATGCATGCACTATGACCAACGTTTTTCGACCCCATCCGATCTTGCGGAAGTACCTGACAAATCGAATAATCCCCAAAGAACCCTCTGTGCCCGAATTATTTAACCCAATAATGTAACACCTCCAACTCCTACCACTCATCCCATCCCCAATCCTCCAGTATGACCAAACCAACAATAACGATCATCGGCGGCGGAATAGGCGGCCTTGCCCTTGCAGCCGGCCTCCACCTCCGCAAAATCCCAGTCCAAATCTACGAGGCAGCCCCGACGTTCAAAGAAATAGGTCTAGGACTCTCCCTCGGCCCAGCAGCCTACCGCGCAATGCCCCTAATCCACCCCTCTATCCAACATATCTATAACTCCCTCATAACAACGCACGCGGACAGCCCCGGCTACGAAGAATACCTCCAAACATGGTTTGAACTCGTCTGGGCAACGGGCGCACAAGAAGGAGACGTTCTAATGAACCTCAAAGCATTACCATCCGGCCAGACGGCGTTGCGAAGAGCGGATTTCTTACATGCGCTGGTTGAGTTGATCCCGGCGGACATGGTGCATTTCGGGAAGCGACTAAGCACGCTTGTTGAGAAAGATGAAGTCATAATGCTGGGGTTTGAGGATGGGGAGGTTGTGAATGCGGAGGTTGTTGTTGGTTGTGATGGTATTCGGTCGCGGGTTAAGGAGTGCATGATCCCTGTTGAATCGCTCAGCTCGAAACCCGTTTATAGTGGGATGTATGGGTATCGGGCTGTTTTGGAGATGGGGGATATGATTGAGGCGGTTGGGGAGAAGAGGGCTAGGGTTGCGACGGTTTATGTTGGACGGGGGGCTTATGCTATTTCGTATCCCATTATGCGGGCCCGGTTGGTTAATATCGGGATTTACATATTGAATGCTGAAGACTGGGAATATGAGTCATGGGTTAGGCCGGCCAGCAGCGAGGATATGGAACGGGATACGAGGGATATGGGGCGGTATGTGAAGGCTCTTGTTGAGGTATGTTTTTCTTTTTTTTTTTGCTTTTTGTCGCTTGTGTTTTGAGATTGGGATGCTTTAGCAGCTGGATTGCTTACCTTGTTTCCTAGCGTATTCCCGACTCATCTCAGTGGGCTATCTTTGAGCACCCGCATATCTCAACATACGCCCAGTCCAAGGTAGCGATCCTCGGCGATGCTGCACATGCTTCTACGCCGCATCAGGGTGCCGGCGCTGGCCAGGCTATTGAGGATGCACATGTTCTCGCAGAGTTACTGAGTGATTCCCGTGTTAGCTCTGTCGATGATGTTGTTGCAGCTTTCAAGGCATATGATGATATTCGTCGGCCGCGGAGCCAGAGGGTTGTTACTAGTAGTAAGGAGAATGCGGATATCTTTTGTCTGTGTTTTGATGGGGTTCGTGATGATCCGATGAAGCTGAAGGAGACGCTCAATCAACGGTTGAAGTGGCTTTGGGACTTGGATGTACAGAATCAAGTTGAGCGTGCGAGGGAGAAGATGATTGAATACTTGGAGATATCGGTTACGGCAAAGAATTCATTTTAGTGCAACCATGAAACACGGACTTGGATGCTCTCTTTGGGTCGTTGTATGGGTTTTCAACGAACGGTAGTTGAGTCTTTTCCGATGAGCTTAGTTAGTTGCTGATATTTGAGTCACTGATACCAGAGTGTAAGATCTTGTATCATTGATATCCATTCCTTATCCAATCGAGATTTACGTTGGCGCCTCCTTTGAAGTACAATGACTCCAACGTCCAAGCCATCTCGCTTGGTTTTAAACCCTTTCGCTCAACACACATGACGTTCGGCGCATAGTTGTTCGACATCTGGGGTCAATCACTATGGATCGTCGGCCAAGAGGGGGCTTCCTGGTTTTGCCTCAACCTCAAGTCTCATTTACAGGTCTTCAGACCCGGCCATATTGCCTGCTTGTATGCGATACTCATCGCTAATCCATACGCTTGAGCAGTCATTTCAAACATTTAGGACAGAAGCTGTCGGACGGTGGAACTTATTTCTTCGATGAACACACGAAACCACGCAAAACTAGACATGGATCGACACAGTTTGGAAAATACGAAATAGCTGGGAAGGTTGAGATTGGATTCTCTTCAGAGCGTTCGATCTAGAAATCCTCCAGTGTGATTGGCCCATCGTTGGATCAGACACAAGCTGCCTACATCTGACATCATCGTGGTGGCATCAACACATTCCAAGGGGTGACTTTGTAACCACGTCCTTGAACCAAGTCTCTCTCCGTCGCATTAAACAACTCATCAGCCGTGATGGCCCCAAAGACGAGAATCGCCATTATAGGCGCGGGTGCTGCTGGCATGTCATGCGCTTCAACTCTAGCAAAACATCCGGAATTTGCAGTCACTCTGATCGACACAGCGGGCTATACTGGTGGTCAAGCCACTTCTATTCACATCGATGAATCGACACATGGTGCCAGTTGGCTGAATGATGGCGTTCAAGGGGGTTCGCAGATTTTCCGGCATACATTTCAATTCTTTCGTCGCTATGGCTATGAGCCTCGGCCGGTGAAGCTTCAAGTGGCCTTTGGAAAGGGCAAAGACTTTTGGACCAATGTCTTTCCGAGCCCTCTGGTCGACGAACATTCATCGGAGATTAAGAAGCTTTCGCGAGTCCTATCTTGCATCAAATACATGATGCCCATTCTGGGAATCATGCCAGTCAAGACAATTCTACGACTATTTCGCTTTAGCAGTGACTTTAGCAATAAAATGGTCTTGCCTCTTCTAGCTTTGTTCCTGGGCACGGGGAACCAAACCCCTCATGTGTCGAGTGTTCTGCTGGAACGCCTCTTCAACGACCCCCAGATGAAGCTTTGGGATTATGATCCCGATACACTCTTGCCCAATCTCCCTACTATGTACACATTCCCAAACTTAAGCAACTTTTATCTTGACTGGACGTCGGATCTACGAGAGAAAGGGGTGGAAATCCGGCTTAATTGTCACGCGAGCATCATCGAGCGCGGAAAGAAAGGAGTCGTGCTACAACTGCAAGATCATGAGGATGGCTACACAAAAGGGGATCCATCGATCGAACAGTTCGACGACTTGGTTATGTGTTGCCCTGCAGATGAAGCGAAGAGGATCCTGGACCACCACGCTACCTGGCGTGAGAAATACGTTTTGGGCGGCGTCAAGTTCTACAACGACATCACCATCACCCACTCGGACTCAACATACTTCCAAAAAATCTTCGAGACGAACTATGACGCGGAGCTATCAGCGAAGCCCTCTTCGGAACCACGAAAGGAGCAAATCGCTTTTGCCGAGCAGGATCCCGTGAGCCAAACAGATGGCTGGCTGGGATTCCGCCCAATGTACTTCACACGCTCCTACGCATCTGACCCCGGAAAGATAGAGATGGGGTTTAACTGCAGCCATTACCAACACCAATTTCGTGATCATCTGGGCGAGAATAAACCGCCACTACCACAATACCAGCATGTGTTTCAGACTATCTTCTTGGTATGTCCCATCACTTATCAAAACACCTTGGAGAGAGCATTGACCGATCCCAACTTTATTAGAACGACCAGGAAAAGCATCTCTGGACATGGAATGACATTGATCCATCAAAGATTATCTCGTATGTGATTCAACTGAATCATTCCAAATCACTACAAAAGACATGGTTTTGACCACGCTATCTAGTTGCAAATGGTGGCACCAGTTCGGTCATCGGTGGCAACACTATCTACGAGTTGTTTTGGGAATGATGTTTATCAATGGCACCAACCGAACATTATATGCTGGAAGTTGGACTATGGTGGTGAGTTGTTCTTTCATGATATGATCGGCAAGGCTCACACGTTACATTACAGAATATGCACGAGATTGCATGCATCTCTGGCATTGCAGCCGCTTATCAACTTGGTGCGGCTTATGACGCATTCGATGACTTGGCTGAAGATTTCTTTGCCAAGTATTTGTTAGTGTGTCATGCAACAAGGTACACCCAGGGAAAGACGAAGAATACATGAGGATTCTTTCGTAAACATCTTTTTTTTTGGTTCGGGTTTATCCAATCAACTATTTCAAAAATATACATCGCTCTAAGGCCCATCGTGAGACTGAGGCGATATCGGGAACCTGGCATGTATGAACGTGCATCGCCGACTCATCTGCTAGTCCCTCATAGCCCTTGAAATGAACCGAGCTAATGAACTGAATTAACTGAAACCCCTAGATAGTCACTCCACACCCGAAGAACTAAGCATCAAAGATCTCAAAGCAGGATGTGTCTCAACAGATCAGGTCGTGCCCCCACGTCTCACCCTCCATCAGTGTCCGTGAGTGGCTGGCTCTCCACTCTCGGTTTGTAGAGTCGGGGGGTTATCTACAGTGGTGGAGGCGCAGTGTATAAATGCAGGCTTCTCTTCCAAAACTCAGAGATTAGACAGTCTGACTATTTACCTCTAATCCCCTCTCCATATCATCTTTGTATAAATCCATTTCAGCCTATACGTGCAGTTTAGTTACACGATCTTTCAACCTCGGCTTGTCAAAATAAGCAAAAAACCATCTTAAAACCCCGCCAGCCCCAGTACTACATCACTGTCCTTTCTAACTCCCAAGTTCAACCATGGCGGCCGTGCAAATTTCCGACACTCTCTTCGAGGGAATGAAGGACAAGGTAGTTTTTATCACTGGTATTGACACTTTGTATCATCAGAAACACATGGTCAGCTATATTGATCAAAATCAGGCGGCTCATCAGGCATCGGAAAAGCAACTGCGGAGTTATGTCTCAAGTACGACGCGAAAGTAATCATTGGCGACGTGAATTCACTACCGCCCGACCTCGAGATCTCAGAGAAGCTCAAGTTTATCAAACTAGAGGTTTCCTCGTGGGAGAACCAACGCGACGCATTTCTCCAGATTGAAGAATGGTTTGGTCGGATTGACCATGTCTTTGCCAATGCAGGCATCGGAGAAACGGCCGATTTCTTCGACAACACCCTCGACGAAAATGGTCATCTTACCCTTCCGGATCTGCAGACGATCAAGGTCGATCTTCTGGGTGTTCTCTTCACAGTTCGCCTAGCTGCCTATTACATCCAGAAGCACTCGGCACACCGTGCATCTGGTGAGTTGGGCAGTATTGTAGTCACTGCTTCTACGGCCTCGTTTCAGAACTTCAGTGCCGGATATTACACGGTCGCGAAACATGGCGTTGTAGGCCTCATCCGCGGAATCGGAAATCCACTTGCGGGGAAAGTTCGACTGAATGCAGTTGCGCCGTCCTGGACCGCAACTGCCATGATTCCTACGGCTTTTATCGAGGGGCTCGGTGTCGCTGTTCAGGGGCCAGAGATGGTGGCTCAGAATGTGGTGCTTCTCTTTAGCGACCAGCAACGGCATCAGGATATTATATTCAGCTGGCAGGGGAAGTATCTGGAGGTTAACAATGCCGACGGTGGATTGCTGGCGGCTGCGGATGGAATCCTTGGAAATGCAGCGGATCAGGACTGGGTGATGAGGAAAGTGACAGAAAAAAAAACACGGCCAGATCTAGTGTCAGCCGCTCTGGATGGTATCTGATCACTTTGGGGGTTCTGCATTTGCTGTGCGGTGCATCACTCTCACTCAATTGGGGGAGTTCTTTCCTCTTCTCTTCAATTTTTGATGTGCATGAACTTCCACAACGCGAGTTGCGGGGTGAGATCGATTGGTCAGAAGGTGTTCTATATCGCGAGGAGAATTCAGCCGATCAGTGCTTTTGGACTACCACCTCGCAGCCGAGTCTTCTGGTGAGCCCCGACAAGGTAGAGGACTCGACCTGTCCGATTATTGAAGCTGTTATACTCCAGTGATTGGTTTGATAAGCCGAGGTTGTCCAGATTTGTGCCTCATTGGGCTTTCTCGGATCTTTTCTGAACTTCATTCATATGAAAGAGTGAGCGTGTATCTGTGGTCAGGTCGAGGGTACAAAAGGGCACTTCAAAACGACGAGTCTAGCCGGCTGGCCTAGATACTTTCTGGGGTCTAAGCGTTCAATCAATCAATCATTCAATCAAAGTTCAATTAACCTGTTGCAGTCTAACTAGTTGCGTATGACTATGTAGGCGCTTCTCCAACCGAAGTGTTACGCACTGCCTAACTGGTCACGGTTATGTTAGAAGCTTTCCTGGTTATACTTGCCTGTGCTGATCCTCCAACGTCAACGATCTGTTTCTCAACCGAGCTGTTGCTGCGCGCAGTCATAATTCAGCCTAAGTCCTTTTGAGGGTATCGAGGAACGATGCCAGGTAGAGCGCCGAGTAGATCTATACCGCAGTATTGGTCTGCTCGTTAGTGTTGTCAAGTGATAATATAGTAAGTGAGTCAACAAGGTCGCAAGGTAAACACAAGTAACAATGTATGATTGAAGAGGAAGATCACGGCACGCGATCTCCGACCTGTTTATCTTGAACTTCAGTTCTAGATCCTGTTGTAGCTCTGGGAGCTACGTCTTGTATAATAGCCTGCCTCTGCCTGTACCTGTCAAGTGGAATCTGATCTGTTACGGCCTGTTCCTACCAGTCCTCTCCTATCATACCGTCCTGCCAGCCCGCACCCTGACATAATTCGAAAATCGGTAGTAGGGATATTCTTATACCACTCCTCTATATAGGTATAACCCTTAGGTAAAAGCTATAGTAGTATCAACCAGCCATCGGCAGAGATATATTTAATACTAGTAACTAATTCCGACTAGCCTCTAGTAGCAATATAACTAGTTATACGCGAGGTAATAACCTTACGTGCTTTACCTTCGCTAATTCGGTCGCCGGTTTTATCCCAATTAAAGATCTCGTGTGGAAGAAATTGGTGATACTTTATAACCTAGGTAAGGTTATTAAACCAAAGAAGTAAGGCGCCGTAATCCTCACTTTTAACCCTCGATTTCTCCTTTAGATATTGGGTGATATAGTTAAATCTAGGGGGTAGTCTTGTGATAAAGCGATAGGCCCAATTGTGGCCGATAACCCGATCTTCACCAGCCTTCTTTAGAATGGCATTTACAGTACCTTTAACCATCTCTATGGTAGGTGATGTATACGCACTATATAGGGATTGAGCCTAGCTAGTGAGCGCCTTTTCTTGAATTGAATTTAGGGATCTGGTTATTGTGGCACGGTCGGTATAGGACTGACGGCCAGGAATCCTAGCCCTAAGTCGATGGTATGGTACGTCAAATTCCCGCGCGAGTTGGGCGATTTTAGGCTTGTTAGCCAGGGAGAAGGCTTTGACTGCAAGCTAGATTTGGATTTCCATTTTTTTAGTTCGGTCTGACGTCGTGGTGTGGTGTAAAATAGGTACAAAAGTGATAGTAAATTGGAAATTTTGCGTTTGGTGGGGCGCACCAACTACCCAGGATGGGTGTGGTTGGGCGCTTGGTACGGTTAACTTACATGTTGAACGAAAT